CGCCATGCATCCCATCATCACCAGCACCAGCACCAGCACCAGCATCACTCCCCGCTGCTCTCCCTTCAACCCCCGCGACCATGTCCCCGCGCACCCGCAGCAGCATCAGCAGCCATATCCCCATAAACCCACCCCGGGACCCTCCACGCGGTCGCGCGGCCGGGTAATACCTCCGAGCGCCAGGCGTAGCCGACCGCCCAGCCTATGGCGGCGGGGATGAGGGAGTGGGGGAATTGGGCGAGGGCGAGTTGGGCGGCGAGGAGGTAGGTGGTGGATTTATCGCTGACTTTTAGGGATGGGGGGGTTGGTGATGAGGTGGAGGTGGAGGGAGATTGGGAGATGGGTGAGGAGGAGGAGGAGGTGGTGGTGGCGATGCGGTATTTGTATGCGTGGGGGATTGCGGAGTAGAATTGGACGAGGAGGGCGAAGAGGATGGCTGTGGGGCCTGCGGGGAGGTAGTTTAGGGTGTTTAGGGAGAGGGGGCGGAGGAGGAGGGAGAGCAGGAGGGGTGGTAGGAGGGTTGTGTAGGGTAAGGTTGTTATTAGGAAGCTCTGTGAGGGTTGTGGAGGGTTGGTGTTAGTATTTTATGTTTGTAAGATGTGGGTTTTTGGTTCTAATGAGGGAGGGAGGTAAGAGTAAGGGGGCTTTCGGAAGAATAAGAGGAAGCGGAGGGAAGAAGGGACATACGCCAAATTTCCTAGATCCCCATAGCCGTTCGATTACTCTGAGCTGATAAACGAGCAGTGCTGCAAAGAGTGCTTCACCCGAATTCGTGTAGGCTAGCTGTATTGGAGACCGTACACTCGTTAGTTTTGTCCGATTAAACCAGTCTCCCTTGATCTCGCGAAAGTTTCCACGAAACGGAGATGTCAACACCAGAGAGCCTGGGGCTGGGAAAGGAGGAAGAGTAAAGAACCTACCTGCCAAACTCCGAGCCTCCATACCTGCCAATATTGCCATAGATGTGGCACGACTTGTATATATAGCAAGTATTTGACGTCCGCTATGCTGGCAGTAATCGACGAAGCAATTATGAAGACCATGACATATTTCGAAATCGGCGCATTGGTGAAGCCGGAGCTGATCATTTTCGCAATTGTATGAAAACTAAAAGGAATGTCGGGTGTGCGGAATAGGTGGGCGACAGGTATGGGTGTGGGAGGCTTCTATTAATTACTTCTAATAGCTTCAAGGAAGCTGGATATGGCGTTTTCCTTTCGTTTCCGTGGCGATTTATTCCCTCTTGATGGGAGAATGATCTGTAGTAGATGGCGGGGTCAAGGCTCGATGTTGTGTATGTTCGTCAAACGCGGCTCAAATCCACACTCTCTTTATCTCTTCTTCCCACTCCTATGACTCGTATCCGGGAGTTTCCAAATGCCCCCTCCGCAATGACTGTGCCGACTTCGTATCCCACCGTGAACAGTTGCAGGAGGACGGTGATTTGGCGTCGTCCTTCGTTTCGGTTCGATGGAATTTGTTTCTGCACAAGCTTAATACATGTCCCGCACGGTTCTCCGCGTCAGGTGCATAAACTATTTCTCGTACGCGGCCAGCCAAAGAAGCAAAGAGTGTCCTTAAGAGGTGCGTTGGGTGAATTGGAGCTTTCTGAGCATCTGAGCACGGTGAGACGTCCGATTGGACACATGTCCAATTTGGGCTACGGCTTCCCGAATCCTGGGAGTCGGCATGCCGAGAGCTGTTATCCCCAAAATATGGAACATCCAGACCAGGCAACTACTATAACTATTGGGATCAAATTTCTTCTTTTCTTGATTTGGTTTTATGGTTTTATGGTTTTAGAGATTTTTTTCTATTTTCTTTCCGGGTTGTGCTTTAGTCTATCACCACTACGAATTCCCGGGATTGTCAATCCAATTCTCTTCGTCCTCTCAATACCCATTGGACTGTCTGTCATTCCTAGTAATTGTAATCAACGACGAGAAATCAAACTACGACCATATAATCAACACAAACATGAGTCACCAAAAGTGGAGGAAAACCGCTATGCAAAGCTAGGCTATAATCACAACAGAACAGAAAGTTTTTCAGAGAGAATCCAGAGGAAGGTCGGTCGCTCTCTATCTCGCCAAAAGATTTGCCAAAATACTATATATAGGTATTTCTAGTTCAAGATATTCTACAATACTATATAGTAGGGCGTAAGCAAGATTTCAAACCTCATTATCCATCTGCTCATAAAACTGCCTCGCAATGGCCTCGATGCGTTGACTCATATTTATCTTGGTGGGACTCGCGATGGCAGTTTCCGGCTTCGAGTTACTATTACTGTTCTGATTACTCCCCCTCTGTCCAGTCCGGCCTCGATTCTTGTTATGTTCCTGCTGCGCGGGCCCTGAAGGATTTCGATTTTGCTGTTGTCGTTCCCGAATCGCCTTTTGGCGGAAGAATTCGTTCGTTTGCTGATTCTGGCGACGCCAGCGCTCAGAGCCTAGTTCCGGATTTTTTATGTAGCAGGCAGACTGTGTATGACCTGGTCGAGTGCAGAATTCGCACTTAACACTCGGGTCCGGGCGGGTCTGGGTTTGGGTTTGGGATTGGCCGCGTTCTTCCTTCCCACGGCTGCTGTCCCGGCATTTGATCGTCTCGCTGCTACTTGTATTACTTGAGTTTGACGATTGATGCCGATTGTTCTCCTTTTTCTTCTTCGAGGTTGACCTGGTTGTTCCGCTACGAGTACTAACGTCACCATCGTTGCTGACCTTGCTCGCTACGACGGACACGATTCCATCCCTCATGTCGTTAGAAAGGGTTAAGGGCGACTGGTTGGGTGACAAATCAGTATTGCTATCACTGGCCGAAATAGTGCTGATAATAGTGTTTCCTTCTGAGGGTAAACAGGCTACCAGCTCATCAATCAAGATATCGATATCCAGTGTCTGCGGGATGGATTTGGGCGTCTCCTCCTGTTTCAACTTAAAGTTGGCATGGATGATATCTTGTGAAGCGCTTGAAACACCCTCATACAAGATATCGTACAACAGCCAATCAGGAACTGGAAATCCAAGCTTCTCCAGTTTCCTCCTCGCTTCCTGGAACTGCTTGATATATTCCCTATCACTCGTTTTCTGGGACGGGTATAGGTTTTGGAAAATGGAGCGGCGCTCCTCTTCAAGAGGTCGACGGAATGTGGATTCCAGCTGATTCCAGAGAAGGTATGCGGAGCGCCTTGTTGGCTGAGTGACTGCTTCCATTGCCTGTGAATCTATTGAGTCCCATATCAGATTATATAGCCAGTCATTCTGCTGGCCCCATAGGTACGTGTTTTCATCCGTGAAGGGAGAGAACTTTTGCCCATTATCGATGATGTAGCTGCACCCTGTGGACTCAGCAATGGAAAGGATCGACTCCCGCCAGTTGGCGTAATTGTCTTTACAATACAGGCGGTGCGGATATGGAGTATCCTTCGTAAGACGGAGAAATGCGATTATCTTTTTGCCGACTACGGCCTCCGCATCGGGTTTCTCGGTTTCCTCGATGCTGCCGTTGACATCCTGATTCTCTTTCCCGGTCCAAGGAGGTGACTCTTCACCTCCTTCACCAACCGTATTCGTATTCTCGTTCCCATTTCTCTTCCTATTCGACTCTCTGATCGCATTCAACTCCTCCTTCAGCTGTCCAATCTCCAAACAAAGGCCCAGGGCCAGTCCATGTGCCGTCTGGAGAATATGCGTTTCCTTTTGCATCTGAGATACCCCATGTTCGGTTAGTTGAAAGTCGGGCAACGGCGTGAATCTATCAACATATGCTGTCAAAGCGTCAGGCTTTAACGTCACGCTCTCCTCACCGCCCTCGACGTACTCGCCAGGGACAAAATCGCCATCGCCAGAGTCAACAAAGCGCGTATCCATATTGGCCGGTTGAAGAATAGTAGCTCGGTTTGGCGAAAAGTCGGCTGCGGCTGCGTTCAAAACGGGGGCGCGTTCAGACGTGTTTTTAGATGAACTTCTGCTGGGCATCACGGCTTTCTTTTCCCCCTCTTTTATTTTTTTTTTAAATTTTTTTTTGTCCCTCACTGTGTGGGCTTCGAGGCCGGGGGGTAGGTAGGTAATAATAATAGATAGATAGACTTTAGGGAGGATTAACTGAACCTGGATTCTTTTTCTCTTTCTTTTTTCTTTTTTCTTTTTCTTTTTCTTTTTTTCCCTTTATTTCTTTTTGTTTCCGTTGTTTTAAGGGAGGCCCAAGTCCCAAGCTAGTAGTGCTAGGAAGCAAAATAAACGTTACAAAGGGGAGCAGACGAGGCAAGCTTCTATCCCCTTTCCCTTACGCATTTTCTTCCCTTTCATGCATGGAAACGAAACGGGTGGAAATCTATGCTGCTTTTGCAGCTTTCCTTTCCCCAATTCGTTCACGTAAGACAAACGAATAGAAGCGAGACTTCGCTGAGGCTTTTATTTTACCGTTAGCTGGCTGACATGCTATTGTGTGTGTAATCTATCTACGCGAGCTACACTAACCATACCAGAAGAACGTAGGGTTATTACACGACCGGATTATGGTTGTTCCACCATTTCAGTCACTGCTGTTATTATTATTATTATTACAAGCATCAAACGCTCGCTTACGCTCGCTTTGATGCTTGCGCAGCCCCCCCTACCACTTCCACCCTCCCCCCGGACCACCCCCTACCCCCCCCTTACCACCCCTTCCACCCTCTACCCCCTCTACCACCACCACCGCCTCTACCGCCCCGCAGCCCCCCCTACCACTTCCACCCTCCCCCCGGACCACCCCCTACCCCCCCCTTACCACCCCTTCCACCCTCTACCCCCTCTACCACCACCACCACCTCTACCGCCCCTACCACCCTCTCCCCCTACCACTCTCTTCCACCCCGTATCACCCCTACCACCCCTTCCACCCCTTTCACCTCTTTCACCCTCTACCCCCTCTACTGCCTCTATCACCCTCTCCCCCTATCACTCTCTTCCACCCCGTATCACCTCTATCATCATTATCAGATTAATCAGAGGTTATACAAACTGCAGAGCCAGCTGTTCAATCTCATCTGAATTCAAAGAAGTGCACATGACATCACATGAGATCATGTTACAGAGAATTTAGCAGTGCATGCTATGAACACAGAGATTAAAAATGAATATAGAGAAATGTATAAGATATGTAAATACTGTAGAGAATGTATGAAAAGAGCAGAATGAAAAAAAAGAATGAAGATTTGAAGATTGATCTGAGCTGTATAAATCAGAGCATTTAAATATTTTTATAAATATTTTAATGAAATGTTGGCAGAAAATAAGAAAGAGGTCATACCGTCATACGCTATAAACACTATTAACATCATATTACTACTATTTTTCTGTAGGCTACTGGGGCAAAAGAGCTCGATCACCACCAGCGCACTGCTGGTAGAAGGGCCGATCAACCGCGGGACCCCCAACACTTACTACAAAACTCATCTAATACTTACTAATACTAGCTCTCTTAGCTTGCACATTTATTTTACTATAAATAGCTCTATCTTTTGTATGAAATTAGATATAATAGATACGGAGTATAAAAGTTATAATAAGAGAAGAATTATTCTATAATCAATTAAAAATTGTTTTACAATCAATTAAGAATTGATTATAGAATTGATAGTAAATAATTGAGTAGTTTCAAATTAACAAGAAAAGATGTATTGAGCGAGGTCAGGTAGTGGCAACGGGCCACATTTGCGAGGTCAGCTTACATAACGAGGTCAAGTGGCGCACTTGCTAGCAACCTCTTCAATCAAGCAAGCTTTACACCTTCCACATATCCACCAGTAAAATACAAAATAATACAGAATATAAGAGAAGTGACGCGAAGAAAATATAGTTACCGTTCCATTTCGCTGCCGCTCAACCCGCTTCAGCTTCCGATACCATGCTCTTAGTAGAAAACTAGATACTCCTTATTAAAGTACAGAAACCAGAGATAAACAAAAAAGATATGGCCATCTAAATGCCATCTATCCCCCTCCCCCGGCTGCTGGCGTGGCTGTACCATCCTGACCCTGAACCTGCTGCGCCTGCACCAACGCCTTCCTATACTCCTCTAACGCCTTCCCCAGTGCCTTCACCGTCGGCTCCAGAAGGGCATTAACCGTCTTCTCCCCACCCTCGACCCCCTTCAAATTCGGCCGAATATTTTTCCCCGTCGACGCCATGACTTCCCTCGCATGCTGTTTCAGCCTTTCAATTTCCCCCTGGCGCTCCTTTTCCGCCTCGTCTGCCACGGCTCTAATACGATCTATGGCGCGGTTCAACGACTCGACTAGGGACGCGATTTCGCCTGCCCGGTCCGGGTTGCCGGATAAGAACGCTTGCCAGAATTGATGTAGGAATTCGGTCGTGGTGGCGTGCGTGAGAGTCAGGCGGTCGAAGATGGCTGGGGGGAGACCGCAGGTTTCTGGCGAGGTCGTGGAGGGGGAGGATAATTGGGATTTGCGGTCACGGATGGCGGAGAATATCTGGGAAGACGCGGCAGCGAGGGCCGCTCTAGAGCCGACCCTTTCTTGTTTTGATTTCGTGCTCTGTTGTTGGTTAGGGGTATCATTAACATTATCATCAGCACTGTCGGTTTCCTCAGGCTCAACAATGCGGTCCAGTCGAACGTCACCGCGCTTATTGGGGGGGAACGTGGAGTCTAGGTCGTTCTGTAACGTGTGGAGAACCTCCTGAGGATCCTGCTGCGCAAATGCCCGTGTCTCCTCATCCTCCGTAGGTTTTGTCCCAGTGAAGAAACGACTTTGGTCGCGCACATTCAATGTAATACGCTTCAACTCCTCATCCCCGCGAAGATCACGAAGCTGCAATTCATTATATGCCTCCTCACTCAGCCCAATCGGTGCAGAAGGGTCAGCATCAACCGGCGTGACATTCGCGATGATCTTCTCACTTAACGAGTTCAATGTCCGTATAATTGGCACTTTATCCATATCAGCAGGTCTCATGTCGAAGTATGGTCTATTTCCCTGCCTCTGGCTATGGTTCTCCTCATTCCCCTCAAGATCAATAATATGCGGCACATTCGCCGTCCACGAACGGCCCGCATACTCGTCGACCTTAAGATACTTATCTAGAATCGGATCAGTCGCATCCGCTTCCGTCACCCGTTCACCGCGCAGCTTCTTAAACAACCGACTCTGAAAAAAGCGCGACCAGAACTGCTGCTCTGTTAGTTTGGGGACATTCTCATCATACACTTTCTTCACCAGCGGATGCTGGCTGAATATTAGCTGGATCTGTTCCTTGCTAATATTAAGCTTAGTCACGTTATCCTCCACCCGCGGCTTCAACGTTGAGAGTACGTTATATGACCCGCGCGTCTGCGACTTCTCAATCGCATGCGCACGCAGCAGGTGCACTCTCGTCGACCAAAACTGTGACACAAACTGCGCACTACTGACCGTTTCGGCTTTTGTGCGAAGCGTCTCCATGAACACTCTCTGCAGTGCCGGATCGGATTTTAGGAGGGATTGCTGTAGTTCTGCGTCCGCGATTAGCCGGTTATCGTCGTCCCACGGAGGTTTCCCGGCCACTGACGACAGCGCATTCGCGATTGCCATGGCGGCTGGTGCGCCTTCTTTGGCCGGAGCCTGCCCTGTCTTTATTGCTTGTATGGTTGCGCTAAGGGCATCTTTGATCGCATCAGCCTCGGCACGGGCGTTTGGTCCGGCCGTAAAGGAAAAAATATACTGCTCCGTGGCACCAGGCGGGGCTTTGTGGGGACTCGGGCTTGGGCCAGCGTTGGAAACTTGTACGAATACCTTCAGCATGACTTTCGGACTTGTCGCGGGGGTTTGTTGGAGGTCTAGAGTTGAAAGGGTTCAAAAGTTAGCAATCAAGAACATCCCACCTGACGGAAAGAATGATCGGGGCGAGATAACAAACGTGTAATATCCGCAACTTTAATCGTCACCGGCGACAATCCGGAACTACTCCCCTTAGGTGCCCATGTAATCGATTGCCCGTCCGAAGCCATCGTCAGGGAGCCATCTTTCTTCTTGTATGCCACCGCCTGGCTTTCCACACGAGCTGCCATTGATTCAGTCCTGCCTCCCCTCTTCTTCCAGATTTAGTCTTCACGTTTCGTAAGCCCCGTCGTATTCAATAAAAGTCAAAAAGAAAGGTAAGTTTAGGATGGGTTAAGGTATTGCGCTGTTCGACAACCCTACTCAACCTCACTTTACGTCCAATATTCGATCCAACTAGCGTAGATTCCGGGATGCCGCAGCAGATTTTTTCCAGCCGGCAGCTGATATAGTTGAATAGGTCACCGTCGTCTACTGTGACGAAACTCTCAAATCGCACTTCATTCATTCGTTCATTCACTCATTCACTCGTAGTCCCCTTCCCTCCATAAATCGTCTCGCGATACTGTCAGTTATCGAACCGAAAGTGGGAAACAAAAGAGAGAGAAAAAAATGACACACCAAAAGTCGTTATCGCATTGTTCAACGTAAATGGTTCGGGCGAGGAGGGCGAAGGGCTGAAGAGGTTCTCGAATATATCCGGGTTTAACTTTTGCAATAGAGCAAACTAACACACCACCCTCCCACCTGTCGATGAGTTCCGCTCCGCAATAAATACCCCAGAGGGGGGTCCTAACGGCCCTCCCCCGTTTCTTTTGATTCCCTCCTACCCTACCCGCCGTTGCGCGCTAGCAGGCTCGCAGCCTAGCTCCAGATACTCCTCCGTTAATCACCTTTCCGTCATGAACGTTGTATCGTATATCTCTCGCGTCGGCCGTGGATTGCGATAATGTTGAGAGAGCAAAGGTAAAACAAGCACTCTCCGCTTGGAAAAAGGTGAAGATGTAGTTGCGTAAATATTGAGATAAAGGAGATTCTCAGGTAAAATATAATATACTGTTATCACTCTTATCCCCTAAATAAAACACAGGCGGGTAGAGTCTTAAGATTGGCCTTAAAAAGGTAGAAGACCGCTGATTAATTGCCCCGGAGCTTGGGCTAGCCGGGGGTTACGTATATCATGTGATTTATGCATATAGTCATGTGATCTGTATAGATCTGGGAGCGAGCAAACGAGCAGCTACAATTGATTGGGGAAAGAATTGTAAGAGGATGTTGTGAAAAGAAGGGGGAAATAATACATACAATTGTTCAAGCATAAGTTTAATAAAAAAGAATGAGAGTGGCATGTTTCAAGTACAACAGATAATAGCACACTATGTTAGATGTAATTCATGTACAGACTCAAAAGTGAAAGATTCTCATGATTGAAAAGTAAGAATAAGTTAAAATGACAAATAATGCAAAAGATAAGAATATCATTTCAGAAAAGAAAGAAAAAAAAAAAACTCAAAAACTAGTAGCAAAAGAGTGATCAACAGTCAACAAAACACAAACTTCCCCCTCTATTCAATACCTATGTGCCTGTGTGCCTTTTTTATTTTTTTTATTTTTATCACTTCGCTCTTTTCTCCCCTCTCTGTGAGTCCTTCAAAAGAAAGTAGCGACATCTGCTTACTTGCTTTGCGAATATGGAACGATGGATATTTTGAGTGAATGTCAATGCCAACACCAGCAAGTACCATGAATAGAAATAAGAAGCAGAAAGAGCGCTATCTTTTCCAGACTCAAATGTGACTTTTTCCAAGGCACGAGCGGGAAATATATGGAGAAGGGTAAAATTTTATAAGGGCGAATAAATGAGACCGAGGGCGAGGGAAGCAGAAAGAAAAAATTAGCAGTCAAATAAACATTAAAGACATAAGAGGCGTGGATAAGAAGAATATGCTGAATTTTAAACTCGCTTGCGACAAAAAAAAGTTGACAAAAACGCTCACGACGGAAAATATCTCAAGGGATGTATGACTACTAAGAACACATCATGGTCGAAAAGGAGGAAAAGAGAAGCAACAGAGGCAACGAAGGCAGAGAGGAAATTTGGCACGCTTAACAAGGGAAAAACAACACCAAAGCCGGGATAAGGAAAAGGAAAATGAGAAAAAAAATTATTCCAGAAACACCCCAAGATATCAAAAATGTCACAAAGGGGGGATATATTAGTGTAATGAAACAATCACAAGAACGGTACAAAATCTGCCATTGCCAGCAGGTAAAAGGGAGGTAGGATACTCAATACTTAATCCCCGCTCACTTCTTAAACATATAATGCCCATACAGCCCCCCAACATCCCCCACCGCAACCGGGATCTTCCTCATTCCCCACCAGCGTGCCCCCATCTTCCACGACCGACGCCCATCATCCGGCTTCACGGTCGGCTTACCCTGTCGCGTTCCCAACGCCGGTTCCCGCACATACCATCCCCGCCGCCCCAAGTCTCGCACTAGCCATCCATTCCCATATTTATTCGCCCGGCTGCGCTGGCGGAGCGGGCTGATGATTTTTTCGCTAAGTTCGATTACATCAAGCGGCGCGCTGTGTGGGGTGACGAGGAGGCAGGCTTTGGGGTTTAGGAGGGCAGCTTGGGTGACGTGGGGGTTCCTGGTGAGATCGATGTAGCGGAGCTGGGATGGGATCCAGGCCCGGCGTGTGCTTGGGTTGACGCCGTTGGTGTTGGTGTTGGCATCATTGTCAGAAACGTTATTATCGGACGGCGGTAGTGCGAAGAACAGGTTGATGTCGCTGATGGTAAGGTTGGCAGAATCGAGACCGAGTTCTTCGACGTGCTTGGAGAGGCGGAGAAGACAAGGCATGTTCGATGAGCAGATCTTCGCCCCGCCCAGGTTCACCGAGCGGAGGGTCGAGGTTAGGCAGGGCAGGAGGGTGTCGACGTCCGTCTCGTCCAGGAGTTGGTGTCTAGAGCTATCAGTCATGACATTCAAGTAGATGAGTGAGTCCCTCACAGCTGGGTGTGTGGTCAAGAATTTCACCACCTCCGGTCCCGTGAGCTTCGTGCATCGCGAAATATTCAGGTGTGTGATGCGGGCAGTGTGTGGAATGGACATCAATGCAGAATTCGTAATCTGGGTGTGGCACACATCGAGATGGGTCACGTTGACTAGGCGCGGTAGGAAAACCTCGAACACGCGCGGAATGAGACCGCTACACTCGTGGAGAGACACCCGGCGGAGCGCTGGGAGGGTTGCGGGGAAATCAAAATCCTCAGTAACGGCACTGAGGAAGCCATTGGAGAAAATTGCAGATGAACACCCGCAGAAATCAACAGCGCGCAGGGACGGGGTTCGTGAGAGTAATTTTCGGAGTACGTCGACATTCACATCATCCTCGAGATGCTCTTGAAGCAGACACTCCTTTAGGTTTGTCAGCAACTCTAAGCACTCCAACAGGGTCTTGGACGTAAGGTTCTGAATCTCGACATTCATTTGCTGTGTGCGACCCAGCCCAACAGACGTGAAGTGGGAAAAGTCCAAGCGCCGGACAATGGTGCCTAAAGCGGGATACTGCTTGATGTGGTTCAGAGCCTTGGAGAAGATGATCGAGTGGGGTATGGTGATGTGTCGATAAAGGACACTAAGTGTCGCTGAGTGGAGTGTCCGAGAGGTCAAGAGGCACGAGACAAGGTCAATATTCCGTGGAGTGTAGCCATTAGGGGGGATATCGATAGCCAGATGGGAGATGATTTGATCTATTATAATTTGTTAATAACATACACCTATTCTAGGGGATTTAAATATGAGACAATGTAGAAACTATACCTAGGATCTCAGCGGGAAGTAATTCAATTGGCGCATGCCCCTTTCTGACAGTCTTCTTAGGTTCCTCTTGAACAGGGGTGATAGGACCCGAATCATTAACCTCCCAAGCAAAGCCCCTCGATTGGGCATTGCCTAACAAGCGAAGGTCACTGTAGCTCCTGCTCAGTCGCCGTCCACCTAAGCGGATGTGCTTCCATCCTAAAAAGGCACCGCAGGGGCAACAGAATTCAGGGGAATCGGAGGACTGCACTACAGCCTTGGCAGCAGCTTTGCCCCCAGCTTTGGTGGTCTGTTTATTGGAGGAACTGTCCTCTGTATCAACGAATGACTGGGCAATTTCTACAGCCAGCAAACTTGGTTTAGTATACACCTGGGAGAATCGTAGCTGGTGTGGCAAAAGCTGGGGGTATATTACCTGTAGAGTCCTCCTTGATGGAGCCAAAAGAAGGGCGGCGAGAACTCTCGGAGCCAGAGGAGGGAGAGATATCTCTAGTATAGTTGACAGGTTTTTGAAAGTAATCCGGCTGGTGATGGGGTTGGTGCTGGCAATTGGCGGTGGGGAGAGCCTGGGAGCTCATTTCTCTAACGGGGGTTGTATGTAGTTTGGAGAGTTGTAGCAGATAGATGGATGTAGTGGCGAAGGATGACGGTCATTAGATGCAGAATGAGGTGTATGGCCTTGGGAATTGGGATATTAGCGAGAAGTGTCTGGAGGAGAGGTAGGAAGAGAGGGAGAAAGAGAGGGAGAATTGAGGAGAAAGATGGGAATTGAGGAGACGAGGAGACGAGGTCAGGCGATGGCAACAACAACGAGGAGGAGGAGGACAAGAAGAGAGCTGTGGAGCTAAGGCCTGGGTTTGGGGTTGGAAATTACCCAGCAATACCGCCATACATACCAGCAGCAGTATCCTATTGGCCGCAATGTGGGGCGGGCCGCACTCGACGAATAATACAGTACGTACCGTCACGGACGATATTACGGTATGGGAAATTTGGGGAGCGGGGTCACGGGACACAGCAGGGATTTCTGTGGGCGTAATTTATTTTGCTGCTACGACACTCGCATTGATTGGGGTCCAGCGGCCAGTCGCAGACGTTACTGTTAGTCACAGATTGCCCCTCCAGCGGAACTGGGGCGGAATATCCTCAGCAGCGGTATTACTTGACCGTATCCTGTCTGTTTTGGCTTGCGCGAAGGCGGGGGGAGAGGGGGAGCGAGAAAACGGCTACCCCGGCGGATGTGTTGCTTGCGTACGATAGGCGCAGTTGATAGGAAGAGGGAGAGAATGAGTGTTTTGCAGGCAATAGTAACGATATATTGTGAGAACGAGTAAGGGTTGATTGATATCCGCAGCGAGTACGTAAGAATAGGCTTAGAGCTAGGGCAAGAGGGAGGCAGGACAGGAGATGGGTAGATATTAAGATTAATTAAATATTAGATTAGTGTAAGTAAGGGCTCTAAGGAGATGCCCAGTAGTTTGATGATAAGTGAAGAGGAAGAAGAGGATGAACAGGAAGGATGAATTCGAAGTAGCGCAAAATAATGTCAAAAAAGAGTGTTTGGACAAAAATATTTTTATATTAGAGTTTTGTAGATGACTGGGCCGGGGAAAGTTCGCCTCTAGCTGCAACAAATGGAGGGCGAGACTTCTGGACATACATACAATATGTAAAAGTATATCTATCTATATATTCTTCGATTTTTTGAGGTCGGATGATATGAAATCATCCTTTGACGATTGTTACCATATTATCTATCGCCTTGTACAGTACAACTTCTGGTATAGTCTCTTGACATTCATTTCTGTCAGTGACCATAGCATATGGATTGATGTTGGGTTAATGATTGAAGGCTACGAATGCCATTCCCAGCTATCTGGATACCGGGAGCGGCTGGGCTAGAAAACTCAAAATTACAGAGAAATCATAAGAGTACATACCTCCACAGAAATATATTATGAATACGGAGCAACATAGGCTAGTGAACTATACCTGGCTTGGGTTTTCTGCATTATGCACGGCCTTCCTGGTCCCCTTCCCCTTAGCGGCGACACTTACTGCGTAATAAGACGCTACTAGGGCGTCGTATTGTTATTATTGTATGGAGTAATGAAGCAGAAAAAGGCCAAGCTTTCTCGCCCATGTTAGACACATCCATGTAACTCCACAGGCACTTGGGGCAAAAAGAAACCAGTGGAATATGTGCTCCTTAGCGGCTGATTGGCGGGCTTTCAGGATGTACCGCCAAGGAGCCCAGGTTCACTGATAGCGAACACCAGCGAAACAGAGGGAGGGTCGTAAGAATGAACTGATAGTCTGATACGCAGTAGTGTGGAGGGGAGGGGACATGGGCAAACGTCGATATTATTAGACCTTAACGCACTCCGTAGTCAGTCCAGAATTGGACTCCAGATAATATATCGAACCCGATAACCTCCAATGCCATCTTCCTTGCTCCACGTCAAAAAGACTTGATTGGAGCGACTTCGTGTCAACGAACACATAGGTAACGCACATCGAAACCCTACTCTGCGACGGAGATGCCTGCTAGAAACAGAACTTGGGAATGCGGTGGCGATAAAGCGCGCGAAAGAAACTCCATTCTCCGTCGACGGGTGGTGTTGTTAGTGGTTTGCTCTCTCGCCTCAGCATCTAGATATCTCTTAGTTGGTTTCTCTTTTGCTGTGCTGTGATGTTTTAGTGACCTCTCTCATGTTTATCTTCTGCCTGCGTCTTTTTCAAATTGTTAGGCATTAAAAATATCATGTTGATCTCGAGTGACACTAAATACCACAGTCCCCTCTAACGATATGACAACAATCGGAGCTCCCTAAATCAAAAATGTTAACTAATGTTTTACCGAGCTAGTGCCCAGCTTCTGCCTCTTTCTCTCCATGAATACGGCTGTGAACGGAGCTTTCTATTGATCATACCTGTGCCGCCATTGCTGACTGACTGTCATACCCTTGCTTGGGGTGCATAGCGTGTCAACAGATTCTAACTAAAATCCCTGTATTGAGGGAGAGCAGTTAGCTTAGAGAGTTTGGCTCTGATATCCGCCTGTAATTCATGGTTAAGAAAATGACCCATTGGGTTTGGCGGTTGGGGAGGGAAGTTCAAGGGAGGAAGGTCTTGGTAGAGAGGTTTTACTCAGCGTATATCCGGTCTACCTCTTTTTGATGGATCGATATATATCGGCATAACTCGACATGCTAGCCCGGTTGGGACATGTTTCATTTCCCATTCCTTTGCGCAAAAGAGTTGCCTCGGAAAAGTGATTAACCTCAGAAAAGGTGTATGCATAGTGACTATGTGGTGGTACATGTTAGCAAATTTTAATCTGTAAGATCTTTGACAAACGGACTCAAAGGAGTGACAATCTCAGACTGACATGATCAATGCTAAGCTGCTGTAAAAAGCCAGTGTTTTAGTTTTGCATTCAACAACATCTCAGTCTAGTTAATGAATTGTATACTTACAGCAAATCAGACTCTCATGATGTTTTCATGTTAAAAAGCTTGAACATAATAAAAAAAATTTGACTTAGTTTTTTAACATCATATTTAACTTTAGCATTCTTGATAGATCAACAGAACTTTCACAGCTCAGACTAATCTATGCTACTTATAGTTATAAGATCTTGAGTCTTCTAAGAAAATATACTATCAAGTTGAGGCATGCATACATATTTTGAGTCAAAAAATAGTTCTTATTACATCTGGTCTTCTAAATGAGATGGAAGACAGACATCTCTATATATCTACATGTGTGTGCGTTTACAATAACAGTGGCTTGGGTGGAAGAAGCATTTGCAGGAGCAGAAGGAGCTATTATAAGTAAATAGAGATGATATATTAAATATATCAAGTGCAAGTACTTTTAATGAAATACTATTATTATGAGTCTATAATAATTAAAATTGAATCAAAATCACACTGAGCTTTTTTTCAGTTCAGTTTTTTTAGCACCCTAAAGAAGCTCTTTGGCTGCATTAACTACATAATCCAGCCAGCCGGCCTTGTCGCTTCTTGCATTTCAGGGACAACGCAGTTCATCCATCGAATATCAAGTTCGAAACTTCCAAAGGTGACGAGTCAATCGATGGCGCTTCAACAACTTTATCTTCGTTACTGCAATTATGCCGAGAACGCGCCGTCTCCTGCGTGAGGAGATCACATACTCAGTTGCGAAAGAGCGGGAGGTCAATGTCCTACACCAATTGGGCTCCATGACCAACAAAATCGGTTCTTCAGCTACCTATATAACAAACGCGTCTGGATGAAAGGAGTTGTTGTTCATCGTCTGGGTTTAAGATCCATTGAAGTATGCCATGTGACAGACATGAAGAATTGGTTTGTGGCAGCTTCAACGTTTGCATTCTAGTTACCATTGATACCTGGAAGGACAGGCAACAACAAGGTCAACGTGTTCTCCTTCGCTTCCCGCTTCCATACCGTGTTGGAGAAGACTTCCGACCTGGAAATGGGGATGAAAAGATACGATGCGAGGCCGGTGCCTATGCATGGCTTGAAGAAACTGACCAGATGTGCCAATTCCACGATTGTATGTTTTTGCGATGTCAACTGGCGAAACTGTTTGAATATTGAAGGTTCTTCTTGTCAGTGGTGGTATGTTCAACTAATTGGCCGATGCAGTTCACTCGAATTGATAACCTACCCTTTATAAACCGATGCTTTCGATATTTACATCGCCGACTGTTGTCATTTTTTGGCCTTCCAGTGCCTTCACGCTATTACCGCCATTCAAACAGAACCCAAACTTCTCAAGATGGTGTCATGGGTGCGGGATATCTGCTAATCGAGTGCATTGACCAAGATGGAGAGACAATGCTCTCAAACACTTGGTTGGAGAAGCAGAATGACATCAAATTACGGACCAATCTTTTCCGAGATCTCTCACGGATCTTGTTGAGCCTTAAATAGCCAAATACCCTTGCCACACATTGGCTCCTTCATCATTGACTACAATGGATTCTTGCGTTTAAGTAATCGCCCCCTTTCAATTGAGATCCAACAGTTGGAGAATGAGAAAATCCCAACCCATATCCCTCGTGATTACACCTATTCTACTGTCGAGTCCTATGTGATGGACATGCTCGCCATCCATGACAGTCAGCTCCAAAATCAACCTAATGCAGTGAACAATCTAGAGGATTGTGCCTCTCAAATGTCTGCACTGGCGGCAATGCGAACAATATTTCCATTGTTTTTCCAGCAAAAGTTCCGCCGTGGACCTTTCACATTTACATTGACGGATTTGCATCAAAGCAATATATTTGTTGATGATAACTGGCACATCTCACGTCTGGTCGATCTTGAATGGGCATGTTCTAGGCCAATTGAAATGGTCGAAATGCCTTACTGGTTGACAAACAAGGGCGTGGATGAGATTGACGCTGAAGAATATAATACCATTCGAATGGAACTAATGGCCGCTCTGGAGACCGAGGAAACAAAACGATCCAGCTCTGCTGGTTTAGCTGACATTGGGAGATCAATACCGGGACTACCAGCTACCATGGAACAGGTATGGGCGTCGGGAACTTTCTCGCGCTCTCCAGTCCCACAGGCCTCTTCAGAATATTCTACAACCATATCCTCCCCTTGCTATCCCATCATCTTTCTGAGGAAATCGGGGAGGTCATGCCCCTTTTATGGGTGAAGGATGTAGGGAAGTTTGTTGCGAACAAAATCTCACATAAGAAGAGATATGACCAAGACCTCCGGACGGCTTTCGAGGACCATAACTAACAGTAGGCTATCTACTGGCGATACATGATAAAAAAGATTTAATACTCTGGTGCTCTTATCTAGCTCCGAAAATCCTCCTCACAAAAGATTGTGCAACAAATATATGGTTTGGTTACTGGAGGTGAAGCTTCCTATGATGTTACCATACTCGCTGATTTTTACTTTCTCCCCTTATCATGTCCTCCGCCTTCCTCCCCTTCTTTTCCGAAATATTTATCAACTGCTTCACCCACAGCCCTAAAACCCTTCTTTGCCTGGTTTATATCCCTCTTCCGTTGAGCTGCTCTGCCCGAGGAACTGAGTTGTTGAAGCGCCCTTACATCTGCCTTTACCCTCACAGTTGCTTCTTCGATAGTTGCAGCTTCATCAGAGCTACGTCGATCGGCATTGTCGGAATCTTGTCCGTCGGGCATCTTAAAAGACTCATTCGGCCCAGATCTGAACAGAGATTAGAATATTTTAACGTAGATATATTTATTTCTTGTAATCGTGCCGAACTTTGCGATTAGAAAGGATATGAACCGTAGATATCAAGTGGGAGTAGTTGGGCCTGGGTTAGAAGGATTTTGACTAGCTAACTAACTACCTATGAGTGCGATGGACATGGGACCATGCGAATGCCCATTGATCCTCCACTATCCTCCGGATTTGGTCGACATTACTGCGTAATAAAAACGCTGGAAACGGACGAAAACTGACATGGGATTGCGAACTTCGCCTTCAAGATTTCAATAACATGCGGGCAGGAGCAGGGATTATTTCATTCTTTCAATTGCATCCTCGCGAAATGCATTGTTTAGTCCTTGCAGCACCAGCGCCATACGTGGCATTCGGAATTTGGTTGACATTTGCGGCATTCATTGGGATGGCCTCTGCCATTATCCTCAGGTGGCTACTCGGACCCTTCCGTCTGCAAATATTGACCTCATTCCGGCGAGGTACGAATTCTATGACGAGCAATATCTGCACAAGTCTTGCTGGATACCGTCACCATTCTCCTTTGCAAATTTATACACACAATATTACAGGTCCACGAGTCAGTGCCAGTGCATATCACGCTTTTAAGGACAAGGGACCAGGTCAAAAAATCAGTCAGGATGCAGACAAAGTAGTTGGACCTCATGTAGCTTGGAGTGTCTTCCAAGAAGACGCTGAAGACGAGTGCTGGCCAATCCCCTGCATCATTCAATCATTCAGGCTGTATATGGATTCTGTTGCCCTTCACGTCCCCTAGCCTTGAAATGTACACCCGAGGACCTGGTTGCGAACCCATTTTGCCAACACGGCATCTATTCTACTAGATAACTTGTGTTTAACTATGGCATAAACACATATAGCGTGTTGTTATAAGTGTGGTCGGACTCAATTTTCCAGTAGCAGCTTCGAAGCACTACATGGTGCTTTCTGATCTAAGAACAAGACTTAACAGATACTCCTGTCTTACCTGGTTTGAAAGTATTGAGACTACATTGTCACAAGCCAGAACTCGGATTAACTGTTGCAAGGGTATGAATTATAAATTGGCGAATGGAATGTAATTTCTCCTGAAGTTTGGAAGGGGTTTGATTTCCAGCGAAATTCACGAAATTTTTGTAAAGGGCACCAAGTAGAGGGTAAGAAGGTAGAGAGTAAAACCATAAGCATCTCATCAAGAGCTACAGCTCTCATGAAAACAGGTTGCTAATGACATGCCATGCCGTACGGTTCATACATACATTCATATCATGACTGAGCAAAAAAGGAAATAAATTGAAATACACCCAACCGTCCATAATCAGATCAGATCATAGCCCCAATACCCAAAATGAAAAGAGTTGAGAACGAGACAAAGAGGGAAATAAAATGGAAAGATGAAAAGGATAAAAGGAAGAAAATGACAGAAAATTCTTTTAGGGACCTAATTCCAATATAAAAACCGTTTTCTCCAGTCCTTCTTTTTTTTTTTTATCAGCTCCGACTACTCAATAGCCGAAACATTGCCCTCCCCATTGAGAGCAGATTTAACCTTCTCGTTCCCGCTCCACCGAAGCTTGAACTCGTGGCCTAACTCCTTGCGCACAGTAGCTTGCACCGCATCCAGCACGGTATCAAACACGCCAAAGTTGGCTGGACTGTTCTCGTCATTGCCCTTACCCTTGAACACACCGGTCCGGACCAGGCAGGTGTTCCATCCATACATGTTCCCACCAATGATGTCAGAGGCCGGGTTGTCACCAATCATGTAGATGTTTTCAGGAAGGATGTGCTCATTGTGGATTTCCTTCATCCACGACATGATGACTTCATCTGCGTACTTGTAGGTTGCCAGTTCGGGCTTGCCGTAGACCACTCGTTCGAGATCTCCACCGGTCAGTGACTTGTACATCGTTTCCAGAGCCATGCGGAAGAGACCCTGGGTCATTCGGGGAAGCTTGTGGTCTGTTTGGAAGATGATGTCGCCCTGTGAGAAGTAGATGGGCATCTGTTTGGCGAGTGGGTCCTTGGCCTTGGTCCGCAGGCGGCCGTTCTCACTAAGGAGCAAGTCCATGATTATCTGGAAATCGGTGGCATAGTCACGCGAGTCCGCGAAGACGAGGATAGCATCGAATGTTACGTTGTCGAAGTCTTGCGGTCTGGCCTGTTTGCGGTCCTCCTCGGTAAAGTTCCTCCAGGGGGAGATGCTGGGGTCCCAGGCGACGATGTCCTTAGGGACGACGACATTCTTAAAGCCGTACGCCTCTGCGGCAGCACGGGTTGTAAAACCCTCGCCGCCAACAACTAGGACGGTCTCATAGTATTCGGCAAGAGCCTGCATGGGAGTGTGGGATTGAATGAACTGTGCAGTAGAGATGGGGGAGCCGAGGATGCGAGATATTTGCTCTACGCGGTCTACTTCGGTCTTACCGCCGCCATTTGTGAGCAGGATATAGGGGATTTTAATTCCGAGCTCGTTATCACCATTGAGAAGCTCCATTACGCGGCGGGACTCGGGAATGATTTTGTCACCGTGGAGAAGCACACCGTCGATGTCGAAGGCAAAAGCCATATTCTTAGCCGCCTTAACCTTTTCCTTGGAGAGATCCTGGACTTGGGAAGCGAGGATGTCTCGCAAGGCACCAGGGACATCTGGACCCAGGGATGCTCTTGAAGCTCGGGGTGATCTGGGAATTGGGAGGGAGGTGCCAAAGGAGTTTCGGGACGCTCTCCTAAACTTCATCGATGGCGATATGCTCAGATTGTGTATGAGATGACCTGCATCACTGATTGAGCTCCTCGATGCGGGAACCTCGATGGCATTGCCACTCTGAAGATTGGATGGGATTGGGATGTCTTTGTAATCTTTCTTTTGGTTGCTCTCGCCCTTTGGCACCTCCTTGGACGAGAGCATGAGATCAGTGTCAGGAATCAGAGACATATTTGCGGGTATCGAGGAAATTTGTATCGAAGTGGGATATCTTATGTATATATATATGTGTATATATGCCAAAAAGAGTCCTGCTTTTGGGAGAAAAGAGAGTGTAGAGAAAAGGGGAGGGTGATAGTGAGTAAAAAAGAACCAAGAGTCCAAATAACCCTGCGACCCATGACTTTTATACATGCATATATTTATCGTTAGATAGCTGCCGGGAGGCAACACATCATCAACGCCTGAAGTTCCAGTGCAACATAATCAAACTTCACCGAGTAACATGCACTTGTCGAAGCAGAAGGATCCACCTCTAGCCCCCTTCATCCTCCCTAATTATTATCGCGCTGCCCAGGAAGCAGAGAGGTTATTCGCTGGGATCCCCTCGGAGAAAAAGAGGACCTGCAGGAAGACCGGAATTGGAAGGCGGATGGAATTGAAAACTAGTTAAGTTGAACTAACATTATTCTCCCGAGTAATAGTTTCATAAATCCAATATATTTCCATTATCAGTGCTGGCCATATAACATCCAGCCGGTAGGAACTTGGGAAGACTGATCTTAGCCACCGGTGGCTAACAAGTGTCCCTTGAAGGCCCGATCAAACAGAGTAGCTATAGTCATCGCTAGGAGCTTCTGACGTCGAAGTGGCGACGCTGAAACGAGCTACAGGAGTCAATCCTGACAAGAGGCTCCGCTCCTTGCGGATATGCCTGGAAGGATTAGTTGTGGGTGGAGCTGCGGAAGCGGCTCCCTCCAAGCGTCTATTTAGAGATGGTATAATTGTTGTAGTAAGAATTGACGTCTTATGTACATGTACATTATTATTTACGTAGTAGTTTTGTGGAGCTGTCGTATCCTCGATTCGGAAGGGAGAAACAAAAATTGCATGTCAGCAAAAGGCGAGTAAGACAGGGCGGGAGGCTCAGAGGTGGAGGTTAAAATGGAGCCAGTGCCAAAGCCCTAATATTGCCCAATGCGGTCGTGGCACCGCCAAGACGCGCCCTTGTGGATAACTCAGCGGATCAATGGGAACGCGCTAGCCGTATTGGCTAATAAACGCCATGGTCTAATCCTTTCCAACTATGACCTCATCCTGCTCCACGTGGTGAAAACTTTATTCTCTAGCGTTGGAGCTTAAGTTGAAGTGCGCCCCACTTACCACAAGAAGATGCTGTGAAATTAGATGTGTGATAAGGACTACGGCAAGATAAATTCTGTGGTGGGATAGCGATTCTGCCAAGAGTCAGGGATGGAGGACAAGTATGGAGGTGCTTGTGGGGAATTGCCGTGTTCAGGTAAGATTATTTTAAACGATAAAAACATACTGCCCAAATAATCTTGGTGGAAAGATATACAACTTCAATGACGATTACCTGTGCAATTGGTTTCCTCTGGGCTACCTGGTAATACTGAGCAAAACACACACTCTGTCTGTCTGTCACTCTCGCTCTGCGTTAGATTTTACTTGTTAGGATGGAACATAAGTATCTAGGTAAAATATATTATTATTACTGAGCTGGCTTACAAGTATACTGTCCGCAGTGATCGCAGCGGTCAGAACGGTCAGGCAATTGTGGAGCTGTTTCCGCAGGGCCAAGACGACCGCATGCGGGACTCGAGCTTCTGTTTGCAGGCTGCATGCATAACTATACATTTTGAATAATAGTGCCAATCCTAGCAAGGAAGGCATTGGAAAGACATCTTCGAAGAATTGGAGACGCTACCCTGCACCATGGGGCCCAACGTTTCGAAAATGCTCAGAAATATTCCACTGCGTAGAATAAAAAAATGCCTTCTTGGTATCAAACCCAATCTCGCCAAAATTGCCCGGTCCTTTTAACTCCCCGGCTCGACGTCATTGGCTCCAGTAGCGGTTTTACGACGTGGGATGAGATTATTCTTGTGTTGCAAAATTGAATTGTGGGAATAATGCGGCAAACGCATCAACGATTCTTGAAGATGGCCAACGTGAGAGAGGTGAAGCACAACTCTTATTAGCAGAGATAACAAGAAGATAAAGTGAATGTCATTTTGCCTAAATCCACAAGACGCATCAATTTGACACTGCTACAGAATTGATAATTATCATAACTGCACGTTATAATAATTTTGCTCCTGCTTCAATCACGCATATAATTCCGCGTCCCACTTTCTCGCATCTCTCCCGCTAAAGAGCAGCGATTGATTCCCATCCGCACAGCCATTTTACCCCGGCCCCCCTTTTTATTGTTTTATTCAAGATCCCACGCAGGCACGAAGAGACTGCTTCCGCATATTCGTACTGATAGAAAGAAGGAAAAAGAGGCTTCAATAGACAGAAAGGAAGAACGAAAACCAAACAGAAAAAAAAGGAACAGACAGCTAGAAACGAATATGTCTCTCGATATCAAGTTTAAATTGAGCAATGGCGTCACCATTCCTGGCCTGGGATTTGGTACCTTTGCCAACGAAGGCGCCAAAGGCGAGAGTTACGCAGCTGTGCTTCACGCTCTCAGAACTGGTTACAGACATCTGGACTGTGCCTGGTTCTATCTCAACGAGGATGAGGTCGGACAGGCTATCCATGACTTCCTAAAGGAAAACACCAATGTCAAAAGATCCGATATCTTCGTCACCACAAAGGTCTGGAACCACCTGCACGAGAAAGATGAGGTAGAATGGTCCCTCAACGACTCACTCAAAAGGTTGAAACTGGACTATGTTGACCTGTTCCTGATTCACTGGCCAATTGCTTGCGAAAGCAATGAGAAGGGTCTGCCCAAGATTGGCCCTGATGGAAAAGTGAGTTTTAGAGATATTTTAAGCCCTGTCTCTAAACAGAACTGCCCTCCTCATCCCCGAAAACATGGAGAGGAACGAAAAACTCAACAATCAAGAAAGAGAGACTAACAACGGTAATCTTCAATTCACACAGTATGTAATCAAACGCAACTTAACCAACAACCCGGAACCAACCTGGCGAGGCATGGAAGCCGTCTACAAAGCCGGCAAAGCCCGCGCCATCGGCCTCTCCAACTTCACAATCCGCGGCATGGAACAGATCCTCTCCTTCGCTGAGATCCCACCGCACGTCAACCAGGTCGAAATTCACCCCTTCCTCCCTAACACCGAGCTCATCAACTACTGCTTCGCACACAATATCCTGCCCGAGGCATATTCACCTCTCGGCTCCCAGAACCAGGTGCCAACGACTGGTGAGAAGGTGGCTACGAACCCAACGCTCAATGCCATTGCCAAAGAAGGTGGGCACACGCTCGCTCAGGTGCTGATTGCGTGGGGTCTACGGAGGGGCTATGTTGTGTTGCCCAAGTCTTCGAATCCCGGCCGAATTGAGAGTAACTTCCAGGAAATTGGGTTGACTGATGAGCAGTTTGAGGCTGTGAATAAAGTGGCAGAGGGGAGACATGTACGGTTTGTGAACATGAAGGATACATTTGGATATGATGTGTGGCCTGAGGAAAGTGGCGGTGAGCTTCTGGGTAACGGGAAGGCGGAGTGAGTGGGTGTGTATGTTCTGTTTTGCTCTTAGAGAATGTGCTCTTTTTCCGCTGAAGGGGATTCAGTTTGTTGTATTGGTCAGGATCTAACCTGTGCATTTTCGTTGTGAAGTATTAGAGGACCTATTGTTCGGAGCAAGCTCTCGTAGGATAAAGTATTTATGCTTCATGTTCATCGAGCACTTTTGGGAATCTGGTCGATTTTGGTGGAAAATATTGCAAAAAACGTCGTTCATAATAATAGATCAAGGAAAAAGAAATTTCATATATAATATCCATGCCCGTAACGCCCGAATGCCAACAAGTAATAAAGTAACAACCAATGCAATTCAGAATAAAACAGAAAAGCGCGCAATTTGGTATCTCGAAGTGTAGGCCAAAAAGACAAGTACGGCAAAACACTAAACACAGCTGAGAAACAGCAACAAAAAAATAAAAAGAGCCCAAAATGAGCGTGCCACTCCCACTACGTCGACTGCTATACCTTCGTTCTCCCTGTATGCCTTGGTAGACACGAGCCACCAAATTTCCTAGCCGCGGCACGTGTAGTGGGAGCAGAGCTCCTGCTGGCCGTAGCCGTGGCCGTGCTGGTCTTCGGATCCGAAACCTTAAACAGAAGCGCCTTCGGAGATTTCGGGGCAAGTTTCTTTCTTTGAATCGGCGTCCCTGGATGCGATGATGCAATTGTTGCGGTGCCCCTCGTAGTAGCAGTGGTACTGGCTACGGCCAAACCACTATTATTGTGGTTAGTGCTGCGGGAATCACTGAATCCTAGCCTCGGTACCCTCCTCGTCGCCGTTGGTGATTTCGCCGGCTGCGGATCGGAGTGGGTCGAAGCGGGTGGTTTGGCAGGCTCATCCTTCCTCTTCTTTCTCTCTCGTTTGGCTACATGTGATATGGCGGGTTTCTGGGAAGAGTTCCCCTCGCTAATTTCCCAATCGTGTTCATCGTTATTGAATAGCTCTCCCTCGTATCGAACAAGATGTTCCTCGTCCCACTTCACTTTCTTGACAATCCGTATCCGCTTGCGGCGGGACTTCTTCGGCGAAACAGGATCACCTGTCTCCTCATTGTTAACACCAAAAGGTTCGTATTCTTGTGAATTGATCGCTTGAAGTACAAAACAGGGGAACTGAGCATCGCCTTTATTACGCCTGGTGTTGGCCTTGGTCGTTAGAGATAGCTGTTGTTCCTCTGAACGTTGTAAAAATACGAACTCGGTACCGTTGGAACGGCGAACAGGGATATGATTCGGTACAGTAGGTGTATACCGTTGGGTTCTTGGAATAATTTTGCGGGTGCTTCTTCGCCATGGAGTACCTGCTCTCGGCTGTTGCAGGTCTTCTTCTGTTTCACCGCGGATTCTTTGGGCTTGTTCTTCGTTCTCAATCTCTAGTTCGTGATCAATTGCTGGAGGCGGTTTCGGGGAGGGTGATCTTGGAACCTGTCTCACTTTCGAAGGCGATACTTGTTGCCTTGGAGATGAAGGGGAATTTTTATCCAAGTCTTCCAAAACCCTTCGCGCGCGCGCGCTTGGTGTGGGAGATCGGGTCGGCCCTTCCCAGCCAGCGTTTTCCGATTCTTTGCTCGGCAAGGTAGATTTAGCGGCGGCCCGCTTGGCTTGCGCCTGGGATAAGAAGTCAGTTATGAAGTCGGCGTCATCGCCTTCTAGGGTTGGAAACAATAATCGGCTCGGGGGTATTGCCAAGGGCGCTACTGCTTCCTCAGCCACTTTCTCGATCTTTGCCGTAGTGAGGAATGCATTTTCTGCATCGAGTAATAAGTCTGGTGCAACCTGATCGCCAGACTCAAGATTTTCTCGATCCAGCGTGCCGGTTGATTCTCGCATAGTCGAAGGATAAATGTTTCGGTCCTGCTCTCCAAGTCTAACGGGATCTTCAGGATCCCACAATTCATTTACATGAGGTTGGCGTGAGGCTACAGATGTGCTCTCATGCTGTACAGCTAACAAATCCAAGCCAAAGTAGTTTTGATTCACGAATTTCTGCTCTTCAACGCACTCGTGGTCGTCAAGGTGCTTGTTCTGTCTGATGTCATCGGCATCGGGAACGATACATGGGTCTTCGATGATCTCCCTCCTGCAAACTTCCATTTGTGGGACGCATTTTCCTGTTATTATGTTAACTAGAACCTCCGCAGAAGCCTAGCACGGGCAGCGACAAGGTATGAATAAGAAATAGAACAATCCTCACGTTTCCGGGAACCCATATCTTCCATCTCCCATTTTGTTTCCAGAAAGGACCTTCCTCGTTCCACCCCAACACAAGCTGCAGTGCAACGTCTTTTGACTCCTCGTAAAACACCTCGGAGCGTAGATGATTCGTTGATCTCAGTAAGAAATGCGTCGTGGTCTGCACTATCTCCGCCAACATGATTGAACGAAGAGGCCAGGAACCGCTTCCAGACCTTGTGGGACCTGGAGCGAGATTTAAAAGGGGTCATGGGCTTGCGATCCCAGAGTCGGGGCGCTTTCTTCGATTCAGCTTTTGGGGTGAATTTGAAGCGATCTGTGGACGATGATAGTCGGCTTCTCCCCCTAAGTCTGCAAGCAAGAGAATTGTCAGCAAGTCAGGTCACAGTGTGATGTTTATACGCTAATATAAGCAATATGTAGCTGGTGAGTTGCGTGTAGGGCTTGCTTGCCAACGCGACAAGGGTCACGAATGTATATATGGAAACTCTAAGCAGTAATGTATGGCATACCTTTTTGGAGAAGGCAGAAAAGAAGGGTCCATTTCGTAGAGCGTGAGGGTGCGACGCTGGTGGGCGGGCCTTGCGAGTATTTCTCTCGTGTCGTCGTTTCCCTGTCAACAAAGGGAGGTCACAACGTGTGTACGGGAAGAAGTGTATGGCGAATAACACACATAGCCAATATTTGTATCCCGTAAATATGTAGGCGTAAGAAAGACAAGGATAAGAAAACGCGCCGGAGTATCCGTGAATACAATGATTGTTATTATTTGACCGTGAAGTTCAGGAGAATTCTTTGGGTTTGTTGGCGCCAATCAAGTGTGCCTAAGACTGACGAGCCCGTTGCTGGGCCAACCACGTCCAATCAGCAGCGGATTATTTAGAGCCTTTTCTACGCTGTAGACGAATTAAAAATCAGGGGGTGAGGTCTATTCCTGCCCTTGCTATGTGGAAGTTTTTGTATCTACGCCGGATGTAAAGGGGCACCTGGAGCGCCTCGCAGGATTCTTAGGCCTTAAATCTGCTAGGCTGAGCCCAGCAGTTGGCTGTGATGTCATTTACTAAAGCCGACCTGGCTTTCCATCTACCTTGCTCTGACAACTTGAGTTTGCAAAGAAGGTGAAGTAAAGTCAAGTTCTGGATTGAGCTGAGATCGCCGAACGATACGTCAGCGACCGTACAAGGACATTGCTATATTGCGGTTGAGCCTGCTCTCTATCCGCATTCATGACAAAAAAACATTATTCGTTTAGGCATTCTGAGAGGGAAATAAAATATCAGTCCAAGTGGGAGAAGCAGCGAAAGATAATCGCTCAGAGCAAACTATAAGGCATGTTTAAAAAATCAAATAGTGCCTGCAACGTCCGCCTCGAAACACTCAGTCCACTTACCAGTGGCATATCCCATACTGTCATTGTTGTACCATATCTCGGTCGTCAAATGGGTCCCCAAATTCCTCTATTTCAAATGTCAGTCAGCAACATGAAAGCTTGTCACATCAAGACAAGAGCAAAACCAATGCTATCCGCTCACTTAAGCTAAAATCGCGATCCACCACCATTTCTAAAACTCTCTGATATTCCTCCTCTGCCTTCTTATTTTTCCACGATGACCCGGGCTCGGCTCGAGATATTTCAGAGCTTTGGTGGTCCCACGTGTCACCGCCAGCAGCATCATCCCCTGAATTATGCTGTGAGGGTGTTACTACTGCGTAATCGGCTTGGGTATCGTCATATTCCATCTTCATAGACACTGCGCCAGCGGCATCCTGCGAACCTGGCGGTGAAAGCTCTGAGCTGGGGACGTTGGAGGTTGCGTCAGCAATTCGGCCACCGGTGGGGGTTTGAGGTTCACTGTTTTGCGATGATTCGGAAGAGGAGAGCATTTCGGAATCGCCTTCTGGGTCTAGAAATAACATTACAAACGTTGGGTCAGAGATGATTTCGGGTAATTGTTTAGATGTTGTATGTGTCCGCGAGCCCTTACGGGGTGGCGGGGATGCTCGGAGGTGGTGGGGAATCTGGGGAAGGGTCTTGTACCTGCAGACATTGCGGATATGCGTGAGTAACGAGTACCGGGGATCCTGTATCTGAAACGCATATAATGAGAGTGAATATATCACTATGGAGGAACACAATAGATGCTCTCGAAGCTTGGGGTTGCGAAATGGATGAAGTAGCTAGTAGATCACGTGTAGGATATGTGGGCGCCAACCGCGGCTGGGCCAGCAGCCCGCGTTTTGGTGGCAACCCAAAAAACGCCAACCGTTTTCAACCTCAGCTCTTTCTCCAGCACACGAGGGAGAGGTATGTATCACTGCCGCTAACTCCTGTATACACCTCCATTCCGCTTCTATTTGACACACTTCTCAATATTCATAAATGACCGTATATTATTTCTATCTTTGTAGACGTCATTTTATTCTTTTTGGTTTCCTCGACCTTGTACTGAACCCCCACTGCCTTTCCCGCCATGAGTGCACGAACCTCCGCAAAGGTGCCAGACGCGTGGGATGATAATTGGGAAGCCCAGATTGATGTATGATTATGCCTTTGAATTTCATCTTTTCCTCTATTTAGGCTTGGTAGCTGTTTTGCATCGTATGCTAATATAAGAAAAGTCTGAACCGCATGCGCAAGATGGGGTGGCGGCACCTTCACCAGCACCGGCACCTGAGAAAAAGCTATCTTCTCGAGCCATAAAAGCCCAGAAAAGAGCTCAGCACGCGGAGTTCAATCGCCAACTATGGGCTGAAGCGTATGTCTATCCGGTCAATACACGAGAACTAGAGCCTCCGAACACTCAGTTTCCCTATGTACCATTCACTACTATATGTCTGTCAAATGAACAAGAAGCGAAACAAACAAGCTAACCCCATCCACCTTCGCAACAGAGAATCCCCTCAAACCTTCCACTTCCTCGAATCACGGGCCGCCTCCGTCCCTCTCAGATCTGACTTCAAGCCGCCAGTCACCGTCCTAAGCCGCAAACCCCAACTCGCCAAGCGCCAACACTCGCAATCTCAATCACCCTCAGCCGTCTCCCCATTTCCGTCCTCATCCGCGTCGGGTGCCGTTGACGCTACAATGGCAGGTATCCAACACCTCTCCGTCTCCGGCATGAGCTCCCCCGCTACCGGCGCCACTGCCACCATCGCAATGCCTCCAGATTTTTTACCTAACCACGACGATGACGACGGTGACGATGATGACGACGGAGAGGAAGGGCCGAAATTAACACCGGAAGAGCTGCAGGCACAACGCGAGCGGGAACGGGAGGAGAGACAGCGCAAATACGAGGAAGTAAGAGAGCGGCTGTTTGGGAGTCCGTCAGGGGCTGGCTCGGGGGCCTCTTCGCCGGGTAGCACGAGCACAACACCGCCACCATCACAGTCACAGTCACAGGATCATCCTCATCCTCATTCCCATTCTCATAGGCAGGGTCTTGGTACGAGAGGCAAGGGGAGAGCCGGCCGGCATAATGCCAGCAGCAAGGAGAGTCGGGAGAGGAAGGAGATATCGGCCAATTACAACAGCAACAACAACAATAATAATAATAAATCTAATAGACAGCTATACGATCCTAATTACCCTACGCGATCGACTTCGGGGCATGGGCAGAGAGGGGACAGGAGGCAAAATTATGTAAATAATGGGCAGGAGAACGGACGAGTGCAGGAGAAGCCGCAGCAGTCGCAGCAGCAACAGATGCCACTTAGAACTCCAAGGGGGCCAGATGGGAGTGGACGAGGGGGGTTTGGATTCAGCCCGCGCGGTGCAAAGTCTTTGGTTAATCAACTTCATTCAAACCAACCTATTTAAGCGTGTTGCATGGTTTGTTGATCAATTGAGCAAAAGACTTATACTTTTTCGTTCTGCGTGACGAAGTCAGGATATCCGATGCAAGATGGACACAGGATGAAGGAGAGGACCAACGACGACAAAGAACTATTACTCAATCGACATATACGCGACCTCACCAAGAACGAGAAACCCATACCATACAAAATCCAGTTCCAGTACCCAGAAAATACGCCAGCGCCTGTTCTCGTTCCGGAAATGCTAGAAGAAAATACCACCTGAAACAACAGAGAAACGATAAATATATATATATATATATATGACGCCATCCATCACGACCGCTCAGGAACCATATGGACGCCAGCTATGGCAAGGTCCGCCCCGCATTAATTACATTCGCCAGCAGTGACGTATTAGACCGATTTTCTACAAGAAGTCAATCAATCAATCACGAGCATAACGCGGAGCTTCAACAAAAAGCGACAATCTACACACAGAAAACTCACCAGCATACCGCTCATAACTATCCAAATACAACTCATCCGCGCTCGTCGTGGCTATGACATGCTCGTCATTTTCCACAGCATCCACCCACGCTTCCCAGCGACTCCCCCGCTCAGGATCCGGCCAGCCGCGATATCGTTTGAGCACACGACTGAGTCTTAGCATCCAGGGCGCGAATTGGATATCTACGTAGGAGATGGCGGGGCCGAGGAAGAAAGGCCCGTGGACATGCGAGGCGTTGACGAGTTTGTTGATTTCGGCTTGGAGCTCCTCTGAGTGCGTGGTCTGCTTTTGTACGTCTTGTTCTTGGAGGAGGCGATAGAAAGTCGGGATTATGTGGCGGTTTACCTGGGAAAATTGAAAAGGGCAAATTTAATTAGGACGATGAGGAGTGAAGACCGAGGGGAGTTTGGAGGTATTGAAAAATATACTAACATGATCGGCCCATAGGCGGCAATGGGCACGTAGCTGAGGGTCTCTTGGTGGGAGGAGAGGATTACCGGCTTCGAGATCATCAAGCTAAGTAAAGGGACAATAGAGGGATTGGTCAACAAAAGAAAGGGATATGTTAAATTACCCGCCACTAGCAGCTGGCTTTCCTTGTTGAAAGGAATGGAAGAGGGGGGGGGGGGGGAACATACATATTCTAGCAAAACTGTACTCTCATAACACCCCCAATTTCCCTGGCGGATGGCGGGCACCAAACCGCGCGGATTAACCTCCAACAACGACTCGGGCTTGTTGTACGGATCAACCTCGATGTACTGGTAAGGAATCCCTTTGACCTCCAAGGCAATCCAGACACGCTGGACGAACGGACTGGTGAAACAAGAAAAGTCGACGAGTTAGCGCTCGAGGGTCGGTATTTCATGAAAAAGGCCACGATATTGGGTTGTGAATTGTGTTAGGAGCGGAAGCGGTTGTTTTTGTTATTTGTATTGATGGGGTAGGGGCGCGGTTAGGGGGAATGTAGATAATTGTCGAAGCGAGATGTATATTTTATTTTTTACATACCAGAAACAACTTCCGAAGAGCTTTAGGTCTGATTCTCTTGCGTGTTTTTTGACCGTTACGGCAGCGGGGCCAGAGGCCTTCTTGTGGTATGATTTCTGCTGCGCCTTTTGGGTGTTGTTAGATATCTTGTCCTTCTTTTCCCCTTTTTCCTCTTTATAACATATAGCGGAAACGAAAGTCTTGGACAAAGAATAATTTTCCGTGTTGTGTATGGGGTGTTAAGGAACGAATGTCCAACCCATGTCCCTTCTAGAATTGAAACTTGAAAGTTGTACACATATTACGTGTATCAAGAGTCAATGATGATCTCCATCGTCCACTTTTACCCATTCCACACAACACCGCCAAACCAAGTCACTTGTAGTAGAAAAACAACAGGAGAAAAATAAATAAAATAAAATAAAATAAAACTCACCATAGCCCTCTTCCTCTCCTTCTCCTCCTTAAGCAGATGCCGCTGCACACTATTCTTCTTAATCCGATCACTCTCCTCTAGCGTATGTCGATGTGGCCCGCCAATCCCATCCGCCCTCCCATTGCCCCCATTCCCATTTACTCTCTGGATGGTATAGTACCTCGCACCCGCTGCTCCAGGATGGCCTTCCGGCAACGTCGCGCTGGGCGCTAGAACGCCGAACGGGTATTGTAGTTGCGTTGGCTGTGGTTGGGACTGGGACTGATGGCTTGCGACACGGGCCGGCGCTCCATTACTCTGGTCCGTAGGGGCGAGAGAGGTGGTGCCAGCAGGAGTCTGCATATCAGATCCAGCTGGAGCGGCCGCCGTAGTTGTACTTGTGGGGTGTGGGGAATTGATGGAGAGGATTGATGGGCTCAAGCCCGGTGGGGTAGTCAGGGCTCCAGGGAAATATTCTGTGATTTTGATCTTGACGTCGCAAAGGTCGCGCTCTCGGGCTGTGCGCTTGCGCTTCTTTTTGTTTGGGTCGCGAGACTTGGGGGTTCCGGGTGGTCGGCCCTTGAGGCGGCAGTCCCAGTAGTGAGAGACGAAGAGTTTGCGTTTATATTTCTGGGTAGAGCGGTGAGAGTAGACGTTGTCGATGTGGGGGAAGTAGGTTTGGAATCTAAAAATGTGTTTTACATATATAGATGTTAGCAAATGTTCTTTTTGATATGGAGACGAATAGGTTGTAGAGGGCAACATTGCCCAACGCACTCTTCTTCACTCAAGACGATCGTATCCTCAACATTGAATAGTCGCTCTCGCCATTTTTTCAGATCGGGCGGATTAGGGATCAGTTTCATATTTTTAAAATAGGACTCTCCTTTACTAGAAGTAGGGGACGATGGCGATTGATCTGAAGCGTTTGCGCCGCTGCCCATATGAGGCGGGGTGCTGTGGAACTGGTTTAGGAGATGAGGCGGGAGAGGGGTCTGGAGATGCTGCAGCATATCGACCGCGCCATTGTTTCTATGTTCGAGGAAGCCATTGTTTGGAGTATGGTGATTCGCATGATGCGTTTGTGATGGTTGTTGTTGCTGGTGGTCGTTGTTGTGGTGGTGCGGGCGCTGTTGCTGTACCGGCTGAGGGGTTGTATTGTTGTCGAGAAGTGTCTCTAGAAGAATCAATATGTTAGATTTTGAAGCTGGAGCAAGAGGAATAAATAACTTATTCTGTTGGCCGGGCTCTTTTCTTATTTTCTTTTCCCTTATTTTTATCTTTCGGGATTGGTGATGGGTAGTTTTCCCATATACGCAAGCATTCCATAGCTACAGATAGAGCGGCGGAAGTAAAAAAGAGCTCTCACCAGCTTGCCCCGCAACGGAAGACTGATGCATATCAACCGTCGCCGCCGGAAGCACATTAAACGGCTGAGACCCGCCGGCAGCGTTTGCTGCTGCTTCGAAGTCGCTGTTGATTCTCGAGGTCAGACCGGGTCCTGTCGGCAGCGCCTGGATGTCCTCTCTGGCATCGAGGCGGCGCAGGTTGTCCTGCAGCTGGACATCCTGGTTCTCCATGGCAGCTTCACCAGATAGCCGTTGTGTCTCGGGGTGCGAATAGGCGCGGACACTCGAGGCTTGTCCCGGGGGGGTTTATTGGTGAGCTTTGTTGCTGGAAAATGCGGAGGTTGAAGCGGCACGAGAACAGGCGGAGTTTAATTCGTTAGTTTGGTAAGTTAGATATTAAGTTATTTAGTGTCAAAGGGACAAGCTTGAATTCCATGTCCATACCGATACGATACGCGATCTATTCCAGGCTCTATACTCCGTATTGCGCCATTGCTGAAGACAATATGCCTCTTGTCTATGTGTCTTGATGTGTCTGTAATCCGTACGGTTTGACATTAAGCGTAAATACAAAACCAGCCTGCCTTTCTCCCGTTCTGCCTGTTAGAAGTCAGCTAAACGCCGACGAGGCCCAGCAGAATTGATATATCCTTTGATGATATTCTACCAACGGCATCGTGAAGTGGGATCAGCTTCTCTGGGCTTGTATACAAACTCCAGCTCATGACGGCAAAAGACACTAAGGCTGAGGGGAAGCAGTTCTCTCAGCTCTTTGAAGCCTGGATTGGCAAAAAATAACATAACCATGTTGACTATCATTAAATATTAATAACAGTGGGAAAAATCATGCGCATCTTTCCAAACCTCCATATCCACCCATAAGCATCCATAAGCCCAGCCGGGCCGCCTACAACACCTTCCGCGCCCGCTTCTTATCCGCCTCCTCGTTCTTAAACGGGAACCCGGACGTCCTCTTATCTGCCCCAGTCCTCCTGCTAATTCTCCCAGCGCTACTAGCAAACAACAAACACCACAGCCCCACTGACGCCAGCCCGCCATACACCACCATTGCCAGCGCAAAGCTCATCTGACCTGTTGTATGGTACCAGGCATATGTGTAGAATGCCGACGAGGCATGGAATATGGATGACATGAGCATCGTGGGGACGGCGTAGGGCGCCTTGGGGTCGTCTTCTTCTGCAGAGACGGAGTAGGAGGCGGATGAGGATATTGGAATTGAGCCGGTGAGTACGATGGTGATGGCAGTGATGGCCAGGAGGCTTAGGCCGAAGCAGCGGGCGAAGTAGATTTCAAGCACTGATTGATAGATTAGTGAACCATCTTTTAGTTTTATCCCCTTTCCATCTTTTATTTGATGCGGGGGATATGCTAGGGCGGAGTGGGGGGTTTACTCGAAGGCGGGCGTGCTTCATCAAGCAGAATCATGATGATCATCTTGGGGGTCGCGACCAGTGGGATGCCTTGCAGGCTTAGCCATGCCGCCGTGCTGTATGTGTATGCGTAGAAAACCTGTATAGATGTTATTTGTAGGGTGTCAGTGTTGGTTCAGTGTAGTTTACCCTTGCCGTAAATTGATTCAACATACATCCATCGTGAGTGCAATGAATCTAACGTTGAGTTGTTTATCCCAACATGTTAATTATCTCGGTTTACTGCTGCTGAAATTGTAATGAAACTTTTTATTTTCACTTTCCACACAGAAACTCAGGGGTACCATTCAGAGGTCTCTTCATGGATTGTAATTTGTAGTGTCTGTATACAAACGTGAAGTGATGGTTGAGAATGAAGCAGGAATCAATGAAGGCTGCGATAGTTTTGTTGCAAAAAGTGAAAGTACACTATGACATCATATAGCGAATTTGATGTATTAGCTACAATAGAGCTACCATCGTACTTGAAATAGGTAAGAATAGTTAAATACTAATGACATTGCTTGGAGGAAAGGAGAATTCAATTGTATATCTATCTATGTATAATTCCAGTACGTGCTACATCCAGCTTATCTGAGCCTCCGACGAAAAAAAACCTCAAGAAGATTGTGAAGAAAAAACAATTAACAATATTTTCTTTACACTAGTCCATAGTCATCAGTTAAATTCAACACTGAGTGTTGCTTTTATCTTCCATTTTGAAGACAAAGTGAGCATATCAACCATATTTGAAGCATGTAGAATCATAAAAGAAAACATGCCAGGCACAGATCCCCCGCTAAGCGGGAGCTGTGGATGAAGAGGGCAAGAGGAACCCATTAAGAGTGCAATATATCAAATAATTCAAATCCAAATCACCCCTATCATCCAATATTACTTGAGTGTAGATATCTTGCAGAGCTCTGCTCCTGGTCTGATTGACCTGGGGCCGATTCTTCCAGAGCATGCTTATATCTCTCCTCAAGCCCACCATCATCCCTTCGAACAAAATCATCCTCACCAGGTTTCACATCCTCATACTCATCTGAATCCTCATCATCTTCTGCTTCTGAAATAGTCCCTGGCTCCTCTCTTTGCTTCTTCCCACCCACCCCCTCATGCCTCCCAGAGCCAGAAACATTCATATCCCTCAGCAATTTCCCCAGCTCAATCTCTCTCCTCTCCTCCTTCACCATCTCCCTCTCCTTTCTCTTCTTTTCCAATTCAGGTTTATAATCCCGCTCAAATTCCTTCCGCTTCTCCTCCACTGCCTCAAAGAACTCATCAACCCCATCACCTGTCATAGCACTGACACCAACCACACTCAGATGTTGATAAAACTCCTCCAGCATCAAGCTCATACTATTTAAAAAGGAGCCCATGTAACCACTTCCACCTCCCATGCCTCCCACCCCTCCTTCAGCTCCACCAAATGCACCAGCCTCCTCCTCCTCACGCAGTGCTGTCTGAAATGCTTCAAAATCTGACATCCACTCCTTTGCAAACTCCGCGTCCTTCACATCTGTTTTGTTAAAGATGAGAATCATAGGCAGTTTTGTCTTGTATAGTATACTGCACGCGTACAGCATATTGCTCATAAATGTACTTGTTGAGCTTGTTCGTGGGGTATCAATCACATATGCAATAACTGTCGGGAATGAAGAGGCCAATGTCTCTAGTAAAATACTCCCCGACGCGCTCCAGACAAACACCTCAATCTGGCCCGGTGTGTCAATGAGGATATGTTCAATGGGTTTTTGTGGAGTCTGGCTTAGTTTTGAAGGATCGGTCCCAGAGTTAGAATTGGGGTTGGGAGGTGGGGGAAGGGCACGCTTCTCCAATATCGATATTATCTGGTCAACTTTTGTAGCGAATAGGTTCAGTGACGTGAGGATACCGCCGTTGGGGCCTAAATTGTATTGTTTCATGACTTCTTTGTAGTTTATCGAATCACGGATGTCGATGTTGCTTTCAAAGGGGACGGCGTGGACGGCTGGATCGAGGTTGAGGACGTAGGGAGGTTTATGTTTGGAGTGTAGATGTGCATTTATACGCTGCATAAAGGTCGTCTTACCGGATCCTGGGGATTTATTATAGTTAGGATCATACGAGGAGCCTGTTATGAGACGCCTGAGTGTTTCTATTGCTCTGAAGGGGGGTTGTTTCTCACCAGCCATGCCGACGCAGACGACGGCAACGGGGGGGGCCATGTTGGTCGCTGTCTCTCCTCAGCAGATTGCTGATGTTGATATAAGCGCGGAATAGTGTGACGATATATTTAATAGTATCGATTTTGTATTGGTGATGAAGCAAAAATTGAGCGTGGGGGTTTAAATATTTATGATGAAGACAAAAAAAGTGGTTGTTTTGTTGTGAGGAGAAATTGAGCCAGGCCTGAATCTTATTATTTAAATATATTTAAAAATCGAACAACGTCATTCCAGGGAGCTCAGGACAAACCCAACCTCTTTTTTGGCTGTGAGGCAACAAACCTCGTTCGACATTTCAAAATACCAACCATCCACACAATTTGGACCAGCCAGAGAGAAGGAAATAAGAGGATATGACATTGGAGGATTTCGAAAAGGAGCTGGCTGCAAGTCAGAGGGAAAGGGAGCGCGAGAAAAGCAAGGAAAAGCATCGAGAGAAGCACCGGGATCGGGATCGGGACCGTGACAGGGACCGCGACAGGCACAGATCTAGAGACAAACATAGAGATCGAGACAGTGACAGAAACAGAGACAGAGATAGCCACTCCTCCAATTACCATAGCCATCACCATAGCCGTCATCACTCGTCCCGACACAGCAATTCCCAAAATGAGGATGAAGACAGACACAGACGCAAACGCTCCCACTGCTCCAGCAGCAACAGTGGTGAGGATTGCGAGCGTCCACATAAACACAGATCAAGGCGCGAGGAGAGTGGGAAGGGTGAAGAACCTGATCCAACAGCATCAAATACCGCTCCACCAACAATTCATAAACAAGAGCAAGGACTTCAGCGCGATTCGTGGATGGAAGCTCCTTCCACACTGGATATAGACTACGTTCAGCGGCCCAAGCCTCAACAGCAGGAATCTCCCACAAAGCGGATGCTCCAGGTGGATTACAAGCTTAGATTACATGAGAGGGAGCTTAATCGCCATTTACATGATATTAATGAAGAGGAGGAGCCTGAGACTGATAAACGAGGGATGGAGGAGCCGGTTAAACATGAGGTGGACTATACGTTTGGCGATGCTGGCTCCCAATGGCGGATGACGAAGCTGAAAGCTGTATATAGACAGGCAAAAGAAACGGGGGCCAGGATTGAGGATATTGCTATTGAGCGGTTTGGGGATCTCCGTTCTTTCGATGATGCGAGAGAGGAGGAGATTGAGCTGGAGAGGAGGCAGATTTATGGCAATGGCTATGTTGGTAAGGATAAGCCTAGCGGAGAACTTTACCAAGAGAGAAAGCTGCAGAGTGGTTTGAGGGAGAGAGAGGACAGAGATGTCCGGAGGGGCGAGGGGGAGCTAAGTGATCTACAGTTGCACCCAGGACAATCTGTTGAACCCAAGCCCATAGTCCCACAGCAGACTAAACAACTCAATTCTACGGATCTAAATAGGTTGAAAGCGCAGATAATGAAAGCAAAGCTACGGAAGGCGCCGAATGCAGCAGAACTCGAGGCGGAATACAACGCTGCAGTGGAATCTATGGCGAATCGAAAAAATCCCGATGTGGTGGTCCTTGGGGTTATGGAAAATAGGTTGCTCGCCGGAGGTGAAAGGCCGGAAGTTAGGCCAGTTGAGAACAAGAGAGGAAAGGAAAGAGGTCAAGTAGAGGAAAATGAAGACATTACAATTGAGGATATGGTGCGAGAGGAGCGTAGGACTCGTGGCCAAGCCGGAGGGGAGGGACAACGGTTTGCGGAGAGGATTGCTAAAGATGCCAAATTCGATGTGAGTATTTCATCATGTCCCACGCTTCCTTCTTCTTAAAAAACCGATACATGAGTCCTAATCCTCCTGCTTTTCACTTTCTAGAATGACCTCGAATACATGGACGAAAATGCCGCGAAGCTGGCTAAACGCGTACAAAAATCAGAAATTAACCTCAAAAATACAGCGATCAATGAATTCCAAAAGATGAACCGCATCCTCGATAGCTGCCCACTCTGCTACCGCGAAGACACAGAAACGCCTCCCCTTGCCCCTGTCGTGTCATTGGCAACCAGAGTATATCTTACTCTCCCTACGGAGCCGGAGCTCAGCGAGGGAAGCGCCTGCATCGTCCCGATCCAACACCGGAGAAACCTCCTCGAATGCGACGATGATGAATGGGAGGAGATCCGAAACTTCATGAAGAGCCTAACGCGCATGTATCACGACCAAGGGCGGGATGTAATCTTCTACGAGAACGCAGCACAGCCGCAGCGTCACCGACACGCTGCCATGGAAGTCGTTCCTCTCCCTTACAGTCTTGGCGAGACCTCGCCAGCCTTCTTCAAGGAAGCCATCCTCGCCGCCGACGAGGAGTGGACGCAGCATAAGAAGCTGATCGACACGCTGGCACAGGCACGCGCGGGGATGGGGAAGTTAGCGTTCCGCCGCACCATCGCGAAGGAGATGCCGTATTTTCATGTGTGGTTTGAGCTGGATGGTGGGCTGGGCCATATCGTTGAGGATGCCAATCGGTGGCCCCGTGGGGATTTATTTGCCCGGGAGGTTATAGGGGGCATGCTGGACCTAGAGCCGGATGTGATCAAGCGGCAAGGACGATGGCGGAAGGAAGGTGATGAGAGAGTTGATGGGTTTAGGAAGCGGTGGAAGAAGTTTGATTGGACAAGGGTGTTGACAGAGGGGTGAACGATTTGGATTCCTATACTTGGGATAGCGTTTTCTTTCCTTCTCCATCTGCTCATTTTTTGACTTCTCTTGTATAATTTACTGTGCATTAGGCGACGGGAATTGGCAATGTGCTAAAAAGAGGGCTCTGCTGTGTATTTTACGTATGAAGGGTTAATTCGGGGAATCAAACGGGTCAGTTATATCGATCTTCTTATATCTTTCATGCCGACAACATCCCGCCCGTGAATTCGGACGGTATCATGGCCAGATATCTATCCATCTCATTTCTTATCTCTTATCCCATCCCATCGCAATGTCGAGCCATTCCTTCTTTTGAAAAGTCCTCATATTCGGCCGAGTAGTGTAGCTAGTTCCTTAATGTCTAGTTACAACTTACGCCGTACCAATAACCGCTTTTTCACTGCCTTAAAAATCAACTAGTGTATATACCATGCACAGCGATGAACCTCCCATCAATAATCATACAGGGCCTTGATCCGCCACTACGGAGTACAAGGCAATGAATGGATGGCATCCCATTCCGCTCCCAACGCCCCTCATAACGTGCACTGTGGGATCCTGTTGCTGTATGTTTTACCTTTGGTCAACATTTTGTTATGCCCGAGACCCGCCGTCTGCAAGAAAAGAATTGCGCGCCTTTTCTTTTTCTTTTCTCTTTTCTCTTTTCTTCTCTTTTCTTCTCTTTTCTTTTTCTTTTTATTTTCTTTTTATTTTTTTTCTATTTGCATATTTCGTCCCGAGTCCCGTGTAGCCGAGTTAAATATCGCTTGTATAAAGTTTATACAAAGACACCTTGTAGGCTACGCTGCTCTCTGAACTTCTCTATCTCCTCTAAATACCTGCGCCCCGACCATACACGGCCCAATTCCACCAGATCCCGCTTCTGTTCAGTCATTTGAGGCGTCTCTATTTATATATAATTGCTGGCGGTTGCAGATTCACTCGGGTGTCAAGCCCAGTTGAACTTGCATAGCTACTAGATAAGACCAGTGCGTTAATTTGTCTTCTCCTCACAACATCCCTATGTTCATACCACGATAGACAATTTCTAACAGATCGAAGATAGAAGCAAGCTCTAAGTAACGCAATCCGCTATTATGGGTTCCAGTAGCAAGCCCAAAGCGCTACTTCTCGGCGAGATAGACCAGTGAGTCTTTGTGCCCCATCCTCCCGTTATTTGCGGCCCCTCCTCCCATCCCCATAATGGACAATCGGTGCTATCTATGCCTCCATTTTTGCAGAAAATTACGGTGTTAGACATGTTTATGATGGTATACTTTTACCTCAATTGAGCCGCCATTGTTCCTCATTTCCCAAACCTCTTTTTCAAACACAAAGCCTCCGCCTTTTGAGACTTAGGATTTAGCCCCATGTTGCGTGTCGCCGCGTATGTGTTTCTTTGGGACTATGCTGATTTGTTCTGCCTTTATGTTTATCACTGCAAAGTGCCCATTCGACCTGGGCAAGTCTGGCAGATATTGCAGAACTCGTCGAGACAAAGGCTACCAATCGCGCAGAATTCATCCAGGAATGCCGCAGCGGCAAGTTCGATGGCGTCCTCGTGGCTTATCGGACTTTTGGGTCGTCGAGCATCACAGGTCTCATTGATGAGGAATTGGTCAATGTGCTGCCCAAGTCGCTGAGATATCTTGCACATTGCGGTATGATCTGCGCATTTTCATCACTTTTGCAATATGCGCGCATGTTTCTCCCGTCAGATAGTGATTATCTTTGATCCAATATGGCCTCGCTTTTTCTCATTCTGGACACACTATATTGACAATGTCTCCCAGGAGCTGGATATGACCAAATCGACGTTCATGCCTGCAGCGCGCGCTCGCCACCTTTACTGGTCTCCAATGTTCCAACAGCCGTCGACGACGCAACCGCAGATGTAAACATGTTCCTGATAATTGGGACCCTGCGCAACTTCAACACGAGCATGTTGGCCCTGCGAGAAGGAAAATGGAAAGGCCAGCCAGTCCCAAAGCTAGGCCATGATCCGCAAGGAAAAATTCTCGGAATCCTAGGCATGGGAGGGATCGGCCGGAATTTGAAAAAGAAGGCTGAAGCCTTCGGAATGAAGATTATCTACCATAACCGGAGAAAATTGAGTGATGAGCTTGCCGACGGCGCGGAGTACGTATCCTTCGATGAATTATTGAGAAGGAGCGATGTGATCAGTTTGAATTTACCACTGAATGTACGTCTCTTTTCTTTTCTTTCTTTTCCTTTCTTTTCCCTCCTCTTGTTGGGTTGAATTCCAACCCGCCATTGTGCCCCATCTGTGCTTCCCAACAATATCAACCACTTTTATTCCCGCCCTTTGGACAAACACATATACAGATTAGGTTCTTCCTCCTTTGCTAATTCCTCCCCAGAGCACCACCCGCCACATAATCAGCCACGCCGAATTCGCCAAAATGAAACAAGGCGTCGTGGTCGTCAACACCGCCCGCGGCGCCGTCATTGATGAAGATGCCATGGTCCAAGCGCTGGACAGTGGCAAGGTGCTCTCCGTCGGTCTAGATGTGTTCGAGGACGAGCCCAACGTGCACCCGGGCCTCTTGCGCAACCCGAATGTCATGCTTGTGCCACATATGGGCACCTACACCGTCGAGGTAGGTTACCGAAATTCCGACCCCCTCTCCTCTCCCCCCTCTCCACACACTAGGGGGCCGCGGTTACTGACTCCAATTTTGTATATAATAGACCCAAACTGCCATGGAGGAATGGGCGATCGACAATGTGCGCCTAGCCATTGAAAAGGGGAAGTTGAAATCTCCAGTTCCCGAACAAGCGGAGATGTGGTTGTGAGATTCGTCATTTTTTCCCCTTTAAACTTATATTTTTTCAACCGTTTATTATCCCTTACACCTTTTTTTCTTTCCTTTTTGTTCTTAGATAAACATTCACACCTATGCGGAGCATATGTATACACTGGAAATATGTGGCTTTAAGTAAAAAAATGTGTGAGGGGACCGAAAAAAGCAAAAAATATGCAACTAGAAATCGGGGGCGGTTTCGCTAACTATGCGAGAAAAAGGGTGGAAAGGCTGCTTTTTATCTTATTTAGTAAATTTATGTCTAGATATACAACGGCAATCGTACGTACACCACGCATGCACGGACGTGTTATGTGCATATGCATTATTGTTGCCCAATGCTCTTTTTGTGTGTTCGCGCCGACTGCGCTGGAAAAAAACAAGAAAAGAGAAGAAAATAAAAGAACATAAAGAAAAAGAAAAAGAACTTCAAACTTCTATACATCACAGCCATTTTCTGATTCTCCACCACATCTTTTCTTCCTATTGTGCAGTCCAAAAATTAAAAATAGGCCATGGAAAATGACTAGCTGTTGTGAGTATGAGTAAACATCGCGAACCGACACGGTGAAAGATTCCGTCAAACCAATCCTTACATATTCCGTCCGCGCGCCGTAACTGGGACAGTAAACATATCTAGGTCTACCAATTGCTATTAAGCCAAAAGGTAATAATAATATATTTATAAAATAAAAATCGATATTGCAGAAGAGAGAGAATGGAGGCAGATAGGTCCAGGTCCAGTCCCAGTCCGGCCCTGGCCTTCCCATTCGCTATACATTAGTCTCCAAGAAGAAAAGAAAGACAACAAACACAAAAAGAAGAAGGCCCGCTTTTGCTGCCATGCTTGTTTTTAGTCTTGATTAACCAAAAAGTAAAAATGGATCGAGAGAGGAGGGAAGGGTGGAAGATGGGGTAGAATTTGATGGAGAAACCCACAACGAAATAAAGTATGTGCGTACCAGGGAAATGGAAGGCAAGGGAGAAGTAAAAAAAAAGGGGCGGAATCAGAATCAAATATTCATCACTAAAACATTTGTGTTAAAACAATTGCTTTCTGTTATACAGGACGTATAAAAACAAATAACAATATAAGATAGTGGAATAAGACAGTAGGTATTTTGGCAGGAATAAAATAAGCAAATGATATACCGCACAAAGTGCGACGAAAGAAAATAGAACCCAGCCATTTCATTTATAGTTAGGACAGGAGACGAGAACCAAAGTAAAAGAGAGAATAGCCCATTTTCATATAGTTTGACTTGAGAAAAAGAGGAAAAGAAGCCATGATCATAACATAATCACGACGCCCCCGGCGAATCCTCCCAATACTTAACAACCATCCCACACAACCGTTTAATAACCTGATTCGTCCCCTTACCATGGCTCTCATCCTCAAGGAACCTAACAGCAACATACAACTTGGCTGCAGCATCCTTCTCATCCGTACTGGCGGTCGTCTGCTTCAGCTTTCGCGGCTGGAATTTAGCAATGTGCCGCACAATGGCGATGGAATAGATCACATCGCGGTTCTCAAACGTATCCAGCAGCCTGCGAGACGTGGTCAGGGCTTCCTCTTTTCGTTTTTGGGCATTCGGGTCGTCTTCAGGGATGGTAAGGTAGCGGCCGACGGATTCCCAGAAATCAATCTCGCGGGCTTTTATCTGGTTGCCGATGCCGGGGAGTCTGTGTGCCGGGTCACATTCTGGGTAACTATCTAGGCTTACTGGGTTTGTATCGAGGTATGTGCCGGTTACAAGGGCTTCGAAGACGGCCAGTCGCTTCACAGCGTATAGGAGTTCGACATCCGTGGTGTTTGTTGTGGTGCCACTTCCGTTCGTGTCTGGTTCTTTGGTACGAGCGACGCGGGTTAATGTTAATGTTTCCCAGATGACAGAGGCTTCGAGACTCTCAACGCGCGCCAAAACGGCAGGGTCGTGGATATTGCGGTCATTGAAGCCATCTAAGAGGGCAGAGTAGTATGATAAAAGGCGGGGATTTGCCAAGAGATGGGTCATCCCCTTTGTTTCGAACCAGTTGCATTCGAGGAACTTGTCAATAGCGACGGCATACGAGATGTAGACTAGCTTGATTTCTTCTACTCGCGGTGCAGGGATTGTCGTGATTTCTGGTGGTGGAGAGAGGTACCCTCGTACGGAGAGGAGATCTACAACCTTCATAGGTTTTACTATACAAAGAATGAGAATTAGTACAAGACGAGAAATTGGGTGGGACATGAAGGGACATTACATTCTAGGTTCTCAGCCCCATACATGATCGAAGCTGGCGTTTGACCCCCTTCGCTAGTGTGATGCGTACCGGTGTGTGACGCGACTCCTTCCAAGGCAGGGTCAATTGCAGTTCCGTAATCGAACTGATGTACTGAAGGAGAAGATGATGGGCTTGCTGTCGGTAAGGGCGGATGCGCAAAGGACTGCCCTCCGGACAAGGAATTCTGAGCACTGATATACACGGGGGTGCCTTGAGGAGATACTAGTACCGATGGTTGAGAGGGGGCAGGCTGCAGGGCTGAAGTGCCCGGCTGCGGTCGGAACACCGGATCGTACCCAAGGCAATCACGCTTGCTTTTTTCGCAATTCCTGCAAACGGGATGTCGCTCATCACACTGTATACAGTTAAGGAGAGCTCCGGTTAGCGTGGATAAATGTATAGAGAGTAGAGAGGGGCTTGATGACAGTGAACGGCGAGAGATTCACAAACAAAGCAAGAACAGAGCACCAGGACGAAAGCTGAGAACAAATCAAGAAACAGCGTGTCAAGTGAATAAAAGGATATTCGCTAAAGGAGTTTCAAAGCTCTCAAGAAGAGGCCGGACAATGAGGGGAGAGTGATGTAGCTTTTTTTGTTAAGCGATGCTCTAAGCGAGCGTCCATGCAGCCAGAATGCGGGGGAGCAAAATAAAAAAACGCAACAAAAAAAGGATCCCTGAGCCAACACTTTACAACATAATTATCTGTGCAGAACTCTATGCTGTTAATTAAATGCTATTCCTCTTACCTTAATTCGGCGTTTCCTGCAGGTAAGGCAACCCGTTTTCGTCCGTCGCTTTACTTCCTTCTTGTGTCGACCACTTGACAAACCTCGGTTTGGTTCGCCCGTCATTGGATACAGATCAGGACTGAGAATGGTTCCAGCCATGGTATAGTATTGGGGGATATTCGGTGGAGGCATGTTCATTGGAGCATTGGTTGCGGAAGAGCCGATGGACGTTTGCGAATGCGCCTGCGGAATCTGGTGACTTTGGGGATGGTTCTCGATTGATTGAATTGGAGGTAGGCTTAATTGGTTCTGGTTCATTGTCGCCTGCGAATTCGCTGATGGAGGCTGGTAATGCTGAAGCTGATGTACGGGATCCATATGCTGCTGTTGTTGTGGTGGCTGCGGTGGTGGAGGTTGTACGTGGGCCGGCTGGGTTGAGGGCGAGTAGTTGACGGGCGGACTCGATGTAGGTGCGACATTTTGGCTGGTGACAGAAGACACCGATACTGCGGCAGCTGGGTTATGATGATTTGGCGATGGTTCTGCTTCTTTTTGGGGAGCCGTGTCCGTTGTTGAGGGCCCTGTGGGCGGTGGCACAGTCTCTGGCATTCTGCTCCGAACCCGCAAGCACACAACACTCTCTTGCCGTAGAGGAGCCCAGTTGTATGTCTAGTCACGACAGGTGCGATCGCAACAGCCTATAGTGCGGCAATAGCACCACGCATTGATCTCAACGGGAGGATAGGACTCGAATGGAGGGTGGAAGGTGAGAGAGGGAAAACGATGGCGGACTCATCGAAATCCGATGAATATGTAGCGCATGGGATCCTAGACTCGAAACACTGTAGCTCGATGTATTAGTTAGAGCATTGCAACGCGACATGAATCTATGAGTAATGAGTAATTGTATCTGACGGATAACGCCTGGGATGCTCAGCGATGAATGCTGCGGGAAGCACTTTTTTTTGAATGCTGGCCGTAAAGTATTCGATCGCAATCAGGCTCGCCACAAGAAGAAATCACACACAAAACCAACGAGACATCAAGCAGACGAGAAAAGGCATCATCTAGGGCTCGAATTGGGGCAGCCATCAGTAAGTTTATGATGCAAGCTATAGCGATGGGCGCAAGAGGCAAGCTCGCGGTCGCGAAAATGCGAGAAATGCGCCTTGCCCGTGGCAACAGGCAGCGTTGACATGATTTAAAATCGGCAGCAAAAAAGAACAACAACGAGAAAAGCACCACCAATGACCCAACAGTCCCTACGTAGGAATAGCAGAGAAAACGGGACAATGAAGCGGAGGGAAACGAAACACGCCGATTTGATTGGGGCAGAGGAGAGAGGCACGGGCAGCTCAAGCGAGAAGCCAAGTCACCGCAGCCTCTCGCCTGTTATGGACCAACGTACCTGGGGTAAAATAGGGCCTAGATAAGCGAAGAAGAAGTAAAGGTGAGCCAGCCGAGAGCTTCTTTCGACCACAGACGTTCTTCTGCTCTGTGTCCACAGCGGGATCTTCTTCCAGTGCGACGAACGGTGGTGGCTGCGAGTCTGGCGGGCGATGGATAGTTACAGCAACTAAGTTATTTAGCTGGCCGCGAGCGCAAAAAAATCAAGTGGCAATTGCCAAGGCAGAGCGACGATTTCAACGGGTGATGGGAGATGGGATATACACAGTAAGGAGGTGGTCAACAACTGCTGATTTATCTATTGGAATGGATGCCTGGTTTTTGAATAGACGTGTTCTCCGTCGCGGTTTGGTTTGGTGGGAATTTTTTATATCACCGTGCTGTGGTCGTAAAAATACCTTTACGCGCCAGTTATATCAGAAACAGATTTTCTCTATACACAAGGACAACCATCTGGCTACATCTTTAAACAGCAGTTATTTATATATAATTTATTTTATATATCCTGGTTCTTAATGGACATATTGGGAGTGTTTTGGTGCGAGCTTTTGAGGAGCTCAAAATAGCAGATAGTATTAATATAGCCTTAGCAGAATTTTGCAGTGGACCTAACTGCTTCATCATTCATTCACAAATGCGTGATGGCGCTACCTAGAAGGCGGGAGTTCTTGCTTGCACCCTAAGACTTCCCAGGTAGAGAGCCCCTCCAAGTAATGGGGACGAGCTAATATATTTCCAAAGTATCAGATACCCTCATTAGTTCACCATCATAGAAATGAAGGCTGCTCTGCATTGGTAAAACCGCAGATCGTCTTTTCGAGTCGTATAGCTCAGGAACGGGTAATCAAGTCGCGGTGGGCACGTTTCACGGTCCTCGAGTTCGAGTACCTTTGCCTATATGTACCGTACCGCATAGGTATATTGGTAGGCTTTGACCAAGGAAGGGATGTCAATTTCATCCGAGTAAATAGTGGCACGCCTAGCGATGTTGCGTATCTAGGCGATTAATCAATTCACCTGGCGTGCTTCGGTCTGCGCTTCTTAAAAACCACAGCAGGGACGGCTTCTTCAACAGTTTCCTTCGGAGTCTCACGAACCGACCTCGATACACCCTTCTCTCCCTCATATTTGGTTCCAACCATAGTTGGTCCACCCTCCGCTTCCTCTTTTTTAACCGGTAGAATATCTCCATCATTAGGGCTAGGAGTATCCTTCTTGGCGACATCCTCATGCTCCCCATCAATGATATCTTCTTTCCCCTCCGCCTTAACATCCGGCGTCTCCGTCTCCCGTCTCTTCTTCTTCAACTCCGTCGTCCTTTCCAACAACGCATCGAGATCCTCCTCCTTCTCCTTGCCAGGGAACTCCCGTGTCGTCGACCCCCAACCTTTCCTTATGACTATCTCCCCCGCAGCCTCCTCCTCCTCCTGCACTTCAAACTTCCTTTTCCTGACCCCGACATTCAACCCAGCCACAGCATCTGCCTCCGCCCGGTCTTTATTTCCCGCTGTTGTCTCAACAACTTTCCAATCCCCCGCCAGCGCCATATCCCCCCTAAACTCCTCCGGAATAGCTACTCCCATCTCCACCAGCTGCGCCAGCTGACGCTTCCGCTGCTCTGCATTTGCAGAGAGAGATGCGCTCGGTTCTGCATTGGCACCCGTAGCTGAACCAGCACCTAGCCCGCGTTTCCAAGGCGGGCGTTGTTGCTGATCTCCCGTCTTGGGCGATCCGGAGACAACCCCCTTCAGGCGATGTATTTCATTCCTCGCTTTCTGGTTTTCTCGCTCGTCGCGCTCGTTGTTGCGGTGGATGTCGCGGAGGAAGCGCTTGAGGTTACCCTGGTGTTTGCCTGTGGCTTCGTGCTGCGTGCGTTCGAAGGCCGTGTCTCGGACGTAGGTTTTGCAGTGCTTGCACCAGTATTTCGGCTGGAATGGAGGGTTTGGTTTGGTTATTTTTACTTGCGCGAGCGGTGGAGGGGAAGTTTTTGATGGGGGAGGGGGGAGAAGAAGGATATGTGGGCTCACCGTGGACTTCCAGTATTCTGACATAGTGAGCCTGGGTTGGGATAATCACTCGTTAGTATGGAGATTAAAATAGATAACCTAGATGCAACAAACAAGCTTCCCTCTCACCGTATCTGAGTGACGCTGGGTAGATCATCGCTTATGTAATACAAAATATTGTTCCTTGGCATTTGCGAGCACGGGGTTCAACTTGTAATTGAAAGTTAGGAGAGCGAAGAAAGGTATCCGTAGGTACGATTAATTACGTATATTCTCGATGCTAAGCTGGAGCTGGAGCCGTGTTCCAGTATGCATTCAAAGGGCAAAGACATGTCCAATCATTTCCCCAACTCAACATGCAGTGAATGTAAACAAATGCGATGGTAATTATATTTGTGTCCATGCCGGACGGAGCCGGCCAGACTATCTAGAATAACTCAACCCGCACCTTAACATGTCGAGTCTCGTCCGTAAACCAGAACCCAACCTCTCTCGTAGAGTCTACCAGCTCCTCCTCACGCCGCACGAGCCTCGTGCCATCTTCTTGTTTCAAGGCTGAACTCTCGAGTTGTCGACTGGGTTCATCACTCTCATCACTGCTATCCCATTCATCGTCTTCAGCCCTGGATTCTTCGATCGGGTCCCACTCGTCTGTTTCCCATACTAGTTTGAAGCGGAGCGGAGTTAGTGAGAAGTTTCGTGCGACGATGGCTTTGATGCGGTAAACGTCGAACGATTTTGGAATTTCGGTGTTGTACTTAGGACTAATGATCGCGTCTGGTTTCTGTGAGAATGGTTTTTGGTTTTGGTGGTCAACTAGGTAGAAGTTAAATGTGACGAGTCGAGCGGCGAGAGATCGAGGGTGTATCCCGCTTCCAGAGCCGTCTGTCTCCCTCTTTATTTCGACCTCTCCATAAATATCGCATAGTTCTTTGTATCGCGGGTGTGATTCTAGGATGCGCTTTTCTTCACTTTGTGGCGATGCGGCTAGCTCTTTCCGGATCAGGGAGAGGTAGTATAACTCTCCGTTATTGCGATCCTGGTCTGTGATTGTACCGTAGTTTAGGGTCTCGAGCTGAGAGACGTGGGCAAGGGTGAGCATGTATGCTTCATCGACGGTCATTGGATATTCGGGCATATTTGTTATGCGCGAAGGCGCGGGCGGCTGGTCGTAGAGCGGATTATCGGAAACTCGAAGAGTAGTGAGCCCAGGGAACACTTTAGGAAGCATGTTGATAAATTTCCAGGAATTTATTTTATTAAAGGATATATCAACAGAAGTGAGAATTGGTGAAAAAATGACCTCAGTTTCGTGTGCAATCATTGCCGGATTTTTAGATCCCACCCTGCTAATCCTATTTCCACGAAGTGATAACCGTTTTAGCTCCGGTAGAGAGGTCAAATTCCGGATGGAATGAATAGATTCGAAGCCATTATACTCCAATGTAAGCTCCTGGATTCTGCCTGATATGGGATAGGAAAGAGACGTGAACTCATTTCCCGAGAGTGATAACGAGCGTAAAGACGGAAACCGTTTCGATACAGCGGCGGCCTGAAGGAGACATTAAGCATGTTTTTAGCTAAAAGAATATTCATATCTTACCTCCTTCCATTCTATAAGCGTTTCGTCCAGTGATAACTCGGATATACCGTCAAGTGTTACACTTTCGTCAATTTCATCAAAACGATTCCCGCTATGAGACAATTTAGCACGAAGTCGATGACTTGGGAGAATGTATTGATTTTTCCCCTACTTTAGTTTTAAGATCCTCAAAAGTTTAAGCTGACCACAAATAGCTGCTACATCAGCCCATTTTCGAAGGACATTGCGGCTGAGATCCAGCTCAACAATTTTCGGACAAGTCCTCGCAATGCTTTCAAGCTCATTTTCATATTCCTCTTGGCTTCCTTCGCCAGCTAATACGCCATGAACACGCATGCCATCAAGAAGAACAATCCGAAGCTCCTGAAGTTCTGCAAGTAGTTTGCGGATTTTGTCAAATCCTACTTCTTCAACGATTTTGCCGCTGATCTCAATCGGCGTGGACGATGGTAGGTTCCCATGGCCAGAGGGCACAGTTTCAATTTCTGAAACATATTTTTCATTCGCGGCTTGTAGGAAGCTCAGAGGTCGATCAGCCAGTCTCGTTGGGCGTATAAAAGAGCCTGCTGTCGGATGTTTGCTTTTGCCTGGAAATGAACTTATAAGCCCCCATGTTCAGTGATGATGGAGGTCGTATGAGGGGTAGACAGGGCGGTTAACTACACCATACATTGAAAATATTTCACCCCTTGATGCTCTCCTGAATGTTTGCCTCTGGTAGAATCATCCCACTCTACACCCAGCCACTGCCCTTTCGTCCCTTGGACTTCGCCAATATAGCGAACTGTACAAAGTGCACCATCGAATGAAAGCCTGGAGCCTATCGAGACGCCCATGTTGTGCCTCCTAAAGTTTAAAACTGAAATTGATTGTAAAGTATTACAGAATAATATTCAAGAAATGAAATAGTCTATGAATTCAAAATTACTGAATACATAGTCATAGTCTATCTATCATCCAAGCATGAGATTTATACTATGCGGAGTGAAAGTTCGCCTTGCCAGTGATTCCGCGATTTCTCTTGGCAACTGTTCAAAACTATCACGTGATAATACATTCAACCCTTTGGATGCGCCTCCGAGCTCGACTGGTCAATCTCAACTCAAAGCTAATATCACATCCCTCCGGAACCCATTATCATGGATTATCAGGTATTTAGACACGCATCTTAACTTCTCTTCTCCACTCCTAACTCAAGCAATGTTCTAACTATCTCCCAACAGAACCGCGCAGGCTCCAAATTCGGAGGCGGAGGCGTCGCCTCCCATTCCGCCACGAACGCTGACCGGCGCGAACGACTCCGCAAACTGGCGCTCGAAAACATCGACCTCGAAAAGGACCCCTACTTCTTCAAAAACCATGTAGGCAGCTTTGAATGCCGCCTCTGTCTAACTGTCCACCAAAACGACGGCTCCTACCTTGCCCACACCCAGGGTCGCAAGCACCAAACCAACCTCGCCCGCCGCGCTGCTCGCGAACAGAAGGAGGGCAAGGGGCAAGATGGCTCCCTCCTACCCGCCGCGATGGGCGTGCAGGTGAAGCGCAACACAGTCAAGATTGGCCGGCCGGGATATAAAATCACCAAGACGAGAGATCCGCTCACGAGGCAGCATGGATTGCTGTTCCAGCTGCAGTATCAGGAAATCACACCGGGGGAAGTACCTCGAGTGCGGTTTATGTCGGCCTTTGAGCAGAAGGTTGATGACCCACCGGATAAGGATTTCCAATATTTGCTTGTTGCGGCGGAGCCGTATCAGACATGCGGTTTCAAGCTGCAAGCTAGGGAGGTGGATCGGAGTGAGGGGAAGTTCTGGACTTGGTTTGATCAGGATAGTAAGGAGTTTTGGATACAGGTGATGTTCAAGACGGAACGGGAGGAGCGGTATTCTGGCGTGCCGGGTCTTGGACCTGTACGAAGATGATTGATGTAGTCATTGCATTTCGTGGCACTTTTCGCCTGCGTTCTTTTCTATCTGTTATTTTCTCGATGGAGTTCTATGGTATTGCGCGGAGTTTGGCCAAAGGGATTTCGATACCTGCATTAAAATAATGGGGGCTATGGGCTAATAATACATTCGTATATGGGTGATTTATCTAAACTTATTCAAATATGACCTTTGCGCGCTGCGTTATTCTATTCCATGATATCGCGAAGATGCTCTGTTCTCTTGTGATGTAAGTTAGAATACCCTGACCATGGTTTCGTTCAGAGCGAGTGCAATATAGAGGAAATCACACTGTATTGTCATAGCAAATATGATATGCTCCAAATGAGCTAGTGATCTAACCTATGCAAGCTCAGTTAAAATAAAGTTCCATTACTAGGATGTTTAAGGCACGCAAAATGTGTCATGTCCGATATTGACCAACACCCAGCTCGTTCAAAATATCCATATCTCGCTGAACAGATCAGCCTCATACGGACAGTTGGAAATCTGGTGAAAAGCAGCAGGAAAGCCCAGATGAGATAAATAAGAAAATGTAAGATTAAAACATGTTCGTGAAGGGGCAGTACGCCCTTGATCGTAATTGGTTGGTCATGTATTCGGTTTGCATCTCGGAGGCTTTGCTGATTGGAAGGAGTGTCAACCAGAAAAATTGCAGAGAAAAGAAAGAAGAAAAAGAAAAAAGAAAAAAAGAACAGCAAGCAACGAGGCGCAACTCAAGCAGTTAGATTTAACACGACAATCAGCATTCATTCATTCATTTGGTTTTAGATAAAACTCTCGAACAAATGAAAAAAATACATGTAATCTAGCTTGCTTGGAAGGCATTGAAGGCCTTGAATGTATACCCAATAAACGGAAGGCTCATTTCAGCCTCCTGTTCCTCTGGCATGGCGCGAGCCTGGGCACGGAGTTGGGCCGAGTTGTCCTCTTGTGGGATCTCATCAATTGGGAAGTATGACACATCGACATTCGAAGTAAGCTTGGGCTCGAAGGGCGCACGAATCTTGCGAAGCTGATCCCAGACCACCCCGCGGAAGAATGGATGGTTTTTGATTTGTGTAGCTCCGAACTGAGCACCGCCTTCTCGACCAATGCGGTGTTCAGGGTCGCATAGAAAGCTGGTCAAATATTTTTAGCTTGATCTTATCTGCCAAGCGGTGTTCGTACAGAATGGGTTTACCTTCTTATTAAATGTTCAGAATCATGCGAGAGTGTCAGTTCTTCCGGGAAGTAGAGACACTCGCGCCAGTTTACGATTTTCCGGTAAGTATCGGTGGGCTCTTCGGCACAAAATGGGGGCCATCCAACCAAGCATTCGAACATGATAGCACCGACAGACCACCAATCACACAAATATGTGTATCCCTGACCATTGAAGATTTCGGGTGCAATATAGTCAGGGGTTCCGACAGTCGAATAGGCCATAGCCCTACGGGATTTCCTCCAGGTATTGATCTGGCCACGATTGGACACAGTCAGGTTGATAGCGTCAGAGAAGAAGCCGGAATTCCGGTTCTTATCTTTGGATGCAGAAGTATTTTTAAGAAGCTGCTGGTAATATGAATTGTCATGTTGTTTTTTCCCACCAGTGGACAGACCAAAATCAGTGAGCTTGATGTGTCCACCACGGTCTAGGAGGATATTGTCCGGTTTGATATCACTGTCAAACAATTGTTAGAATCATGTTTTTTAGACAGGAGAGACACCTATGGTCCTGAACAGCGAGAAATTTTATAGGAAAACTTACCGGTGAAGAAACCCGAGCTTGTGAACCGCCTCTATAGCCATCACTATTTCTGCCATATAGAATCTCGTAATATCCTCAGAAAAGATTTCATACTTAATAAGCATAGTCATCAAATCACCGCCAGGCAAAAACTCCATAAGTAAATAAAGGTAAGCCTTGTCCTGGAAGGATGCGTGCAGCTTCACAAGCCATGGACTATCTTTTGAATCAGCGAGAATATCGCGCTCAGCCCGTACGTGGGCAAGCTGATCCTTTCTAAACATCTCGGTTTTGACCAAGGATTTCAGGGCATATATCTTGCCATCAGTTTTTCGCTGCACCAGCTTGACCTCCCCAAAAGCACCCTTGCCAATGATTTTTAGAGTTTGGAAATTGGACGGCGTCTCTCTTGTCCGGATGAAGCGAAGAAAATTTGCCTCCTTTTTGGCGACAGTTTCCGCTTCTTGGCGTTTGCGGGCCTCCGTAAGACTTGGGTTCGTCAAGACCTTGTCGAGATTGACAGCTCTATACAGGCAAAAATATTCTGTTAGTTGCAAACAAATTGACCCTCTTATGTTGGGAGAATGGCCATTTCGAAAACCTATGAAACTCACCGAAGGTTACGGTCACGGGCACGTTCGATGTTCTCACGAAAGAAAACATTAACAAGTTCCTTCGCGGCTCTGCCACGTTTATGCACATTCTCCGAGTATTTCTCGACACATCTCACCAATTCTTCCTCTTCCCCAGTAGGTTTAGGGCTACGGGTTGGCATTGGTGGACCAGCATATCCTGAGGCTTGAGGCGATGGCTGAGCCCCAGCAGTCCGTGGACGTTGTCCTTGAGCCGGGTTGCGGCCAAACATTCCAGCCCTGGGAGGAGCGCCACCCAAATCCTGGTTCGAAAATTGCTGAATTAGACCATTTGTTGCATCATTTGCCTGATACCCAGGACCAGTTTGGTAGGCTGCATGTGGTGAAGGCACGGTTTGTTGACCGTACTGCTGCCCCTGAGGGTGACCCTGAGCATGCGGCTGCTGGGGGGCATACGGATTGTTCATGAAATAGCCTTGCCCGAAGGCCGTGTGAGGACTCTGGGAATCGACATAATCCTGGCCACCGGGGTACATCGGCTGAGGGAAGGTCGAAGGTGTGGTTGGATAAGCCCTGTTGTTTGCGGAGGCAGTGTACGGGCGATCATTGAAACCGAAATTCAAATGAAGTCGGTTGCTATTATTGTTGTTATTGCTGTTTCCGTTATTTGGCTCCATCTTGATAGAAGGCTCAAAGGGCCCAGAAAGTTATTTTGTAGAAGATGATCGAAAGAATGACTTGTTGTACTGCCAATGTGAAACCGAATGAGGGGCGGTAGGTAGGTAGGGGGTTTTTGTTGGCAGGCGAACGAAAACCCAAGCTAGCACTCTTGATTGGACGCGAGCCAATTTGCCAGCAAGACCGCGTCTCAAGTCAATGGGGACGTCCGTCTACAGGTGCAGCAACGAAAGACAACAAACAAATCCGGGGTATCGCACAGCTGAGAATTGACAAATAAGGGAGAGTAGCGAGGGAGGGAATGGAGTGGACAATGTTCGAGGTTAAAGCCCCGATTTGCCGCTACGGTTGATGCTTAGCGCGGTAAACAACCGACATTACGTCAGCACGGCCCGGAATTGTTGTCTTCCATTGGCCAAATAAGCGAAGTGACGCGTTTGATCTTCAGTAGATGGATTAAAGTATTTCCGGTGATGAGCGCCGAAGCTTTACCTTTTTTTCCCGCATGGGGTGAAGGAGGAGACTGCATATAACTAACACGGCGTTGACTTCGCGGGCAAACCCGCGATTTGTGCTATTTATATGTATATATATCTATGTACATCAGATAACTGCGCTGATTTTGGTACTTCTCAGGAGCATTATGGCGGAACCAACAACTTCAGCTCCATCTGGGGTATCGCAAAAAGCGGCCCCGAAACCTCCGCCTCCTCCAAAGCCCCAGAATCCGGCTCTCCGTATGCTCGGTGTGTAAACTTTTCTGGTTTTGTATTTTCATACAGCACTAACATAGTTGAAAACAGGCCTACCAAATATCCGACTGAAGTTGCCTTCGAGGAATTGGCTCATATTCCTGTCTATCACTGGGTCATTTACCACGGCCCTGGTCTACGACCGCAGACAGAAACGAAGAGCGCAAGAAAAGTGGTCCAATTTAGTAGCGCACATTGCTAAGGAACCACTGCGGACCAATGAAGCTCGAAGAAAACTTACAATATTCCTAGCTGCCCCGCCGGGCGATGGGCTGAGGAGCGCGCGAGAATACTTTAAGGAGTATATAAAACCCATTCTAGTTGCTGGGGCCTTGGACTATGAGGTACTGGAGGGTCGACGGGAAGGGGATATCCGAGCAGCTGTTGCGAACAGAATCAGGAAAACAAGGCGGCAAGCGGGCGAAGGGCAGCCAATTGAGGAGGACGAGGCAGACAATTTCCTTCAACAAATTCGACAGAATTTTGGTATTGAGGACGAACCTGTAATCAAGGGAGATGTGGTGATCGGTCGTCATACATGGAAGGAATATATCCGCGGTATTCACGAAGGGTGGTTAGGACCAATGGATGCACCCGCCCCTGAACCCGAAGCCTCTCCCAATCCAGAGCCATCGCCCATAAATGCTGCTTCTCCGCCAGCTAACAGAGAAGACGGCTCTCCCACGTGTTCAGAACAGCCACAGGAGAATAAAGAAGCAGAACCTACACCGGAAAAGACACCAGAAGAAAAGAAAAAGGAAGAGAAAAAACCGTCCGGCCCTACGCCCGCATATATCTTCCCTGCTGCCTACCCCTCTCAACAACTCGCGCCGTCAATCCCGCAGGAAATCGACGCATCTCCCGTCGCATTCCCCCATATTCTAGGTTTCCTCAATACCCCTATTCGCATATACCGCTTCGTCACCCAACGATATCTCGCCGACGCCATAGGGCGGGACGTCGCTACTATCGTCCTCGCTGCATCAACCCGACCTTATGCGGAGAATAATGACAGCGTAGACTATGAATTTGCAGCCTCCGCCACTGCGACTACTGACGACGCTTCTCCGTCCTCACCATCATTATCATCCTCCCATCAATTCCTCTCAAAACATTACGAACAGCAAACTCTCCTCGAGAGCGAGGAGCAAGAATGGCCTAAATCTGTACGAAAGCAAAAGGAACATCCAGATATTAAAGAACGAGAATGGCTAGATGATGTCGTCATGGATTCACGCATTGCATCACGGATGCGCAGATTTGATCTTCCCGCAGAGGATGAAGAGAGAGCACAGCGGATAGGTGAAGGGACAGAGTGGATTCGCGGAGAGGAGATGCCTGTTCATATCCCGACTTGGAAACGGATCTGGAACACATATGGGTGGGGTGAGGAGGATGATGGACGGCCAAAAGTCATTATTGGGAATCTGGATGGGGAAGATGGAGAGTAGTGATAGAAGGACTTGAGTGGTTTCGAGAGAGGGTTCGATGAACGTATGCTATACGTTTGTATCTAGTTCTATCTATCTGCATATATAGGCCCATATTTTAGATATCCCGTGTACAATAGAGTGTGTAATTATTTACTTGTTATGTGTTTCATACATGGATAATGTGAAAGGTGTAAAGCTTGCTTGATTCAAAGGTTGCTAGCTAGTGAGAAGTTATTGTTGGGGGTCCCGCGGTTGGTCGGCCCTTCTACCAGCAGTGCGCTGGTGGTGATTGAGCTCTTTTGCCCCAGTAGCCTACAGATTATGAGACTGTTGAGCGTGAGCCCCACTGTGATCAACATGCATGGGTTCAATCCCAGAATGAACTTAAAAATTCCTAACAAATACCCTGGACATTTTAACAGTGTCAAGAGACATCCCAGGAGTGTGCCCTAGAAGTCCCGTGAGCCCTAGAACTGACTGAGTCCATTATTGAAAAGGAGCCATTGTGGAGAGGCCACTGAAGAGAGCCACTGAGAGGAAGTACTGTACTCTGTGATAGCTGGTCCGAGGGGGGGTGTTGAGGGTCCTGTGGTTGGTCGGCCCTTCTACCAGCAGTGCGCTGATGGTGATTGAGCTCTTTTGCCCCAGTAGCCTACAGTTATATAGTGAAAGGATTAATAAGCCAGAACATCATATGTGACCTGACTAGACTGACCATGTGACTGTGTCTGAGACCAGGATCAGATTTTTTGATAGTCTTATTATCAATTCAACTGATCATATTACACAGTTTTAACATTAGATAGTAGTCTCATACTGTTTCAGTGAGACTTACTGTTTACTCTTATCATATTTTTCAAATAAGATCATGATTTTCACTTCTCAATTTAAATTATTTTTATTACTTTAAATGACTTTAAATCTTATTTAAGTGTTATTAAAAAGTGTTACTTTTTAAAAAATTAAAAAGAGTCTAAAAAAAACCTTAAAATATCTAAAAATAGTAACTTTATATCAAGAATGAGACTAAATGAAATTAAATAAGATTACTTTTTTATTTTTTTAAGTCATGATTTCATTTTAAGATCTTATATATAATTACTTTATATGTTTTTTTAATGACTAGTCTCAGTGAGATTCATGTTAAGAAATGTATAAGATCAGACTAAATGAGATTAAATGTGAAATTTATAATCTCAGTAATTAGTTTAAATCTGACACTCTCACTTATCAGAGTAACTATATATTATTATTATTATTATTCTTTCTCTTTAATTATAGATATATATAGTTATAGACTATAATATTTATCTGAGAATTAAAAGTTCTCAGAGTTTTTCTAATATCTATAGAGTTAACTATTATACATTTATCAATTTCATATATATAAAATCAGAAAATTTTAGCTCAGAATATAAAAGTCTTTATAAATTACAGTATTTTAACACCTTCTGATATTTTGAAATCATTTGAAAATATCATAATAAAGGAAAAGAGAATAAAGTCTTAAAGATAGACATATTAAATAAATAGATTATTATTATTATTATTCTTTCATTATACTCATATGCAAGCGGAGCTTATGATGAGTCCTTGCGTGATGTTAAATACAGGTCAAGTGTTGGTTATACAGGAGGAAATACAGGTGTTGAGACCATGCCAAGATAACAAGAACATAGGAAATACAAAGGAGTGACAATTAGATACATGTGATAATAACTTCCCAGCCCAGGAACATAGAGCGATTTTATTGAAGCGATTTGTACACCTCTGTATTTATTAGAAATCTGAGGTGCTTGAGTTCTGGATTTAATGTATCCTCTGCGGGTTTTGAACTCACACACCTTGGTTTCCCATGCCAAGGCGCTACCAGGTGGCCGCATTAACCATTCGGCCACCGGGGATAAATAAATAGATAGAAAAGAATAGAAAAGAAAAAGTAAAGTAAAAAGAGACTATAATAAAATAAATTATTAAAAGATAGTATATAGCTATTTTAATAGACTATATCTAATCAATTTTCTTCTCTTCATATTCAGATATTTCTGAATTTAGTTATTTTTTTATAGCTGCTTAAGTTTCTGATAGAAAGTCTATTAAGTATTTAATTTCTATCTCAGTTGAGAATAAGAATCTTATATTTAATTAATTTAGATTATACTTCTCTTTCAATCTGACTCTGAGACTATTATATAATACACAGTGTATTATAATATACTCAGAATTTTCATTTATATTGTAGAATAAGTATTCTATTGAATTAAATCTATTATTAAATCTTTGTATATAAGATTTAAAATAATTATATTCTAGTTTCAGCTAGACTGACCGTGTGACTGTGTTTGAGATCAGAATCAGATTTCTTGATAATTTCATTATTAATTTAACTAATCTTATTACATAGTTCTAACATTAGATAGTAGTCTTATACTGTTTCAGTGAGACTTACTGTCTACTCTTATTACATTTTTCAAATGAGATTATAATTTTCACTTCTCAATTTAAATTATTTTTATTACTTTAAATGACTTTAAATCTTATTTAAGTGTTATCAAAAAGTATTACTTTTTAAAAAATTAAAAATAGTCTAAAAAAAACCTTAAAATGTCTAAAAATAGTAACTTTATACTAAGAATGAGACTAAATGAGATTAAATGAGATCACTTTCTTATTTTTTTCAAGTCATGATTTCATTTTAAGATCTCATATATAGTCACTTTGCATGTTTTTTTAATAACTAGTCTCAGAAGAATTCATGCCAAGAAATGTATGAGATCAGATTAAATGAAACTAAATATGAAATTCATAATTTCAGCAGTCAGTCTAGTTTCAGCTGAATTATAGATGAGAATATTTTCTTTTTACATTTAATTAAACAAGATTTTCACTTGAATTTTATGTTAAATCTTGAATAATGTATACTCTTCTTTTATTTCTATCAGCTTTTATTTCATTTATTTAAATAAGATTCTTTTATCTTTCTCTTTATAAAAGATCAGAACTGTGATGTTCACTCTTACTACTTCTCAGAGCTTTTACTTCTTTCTTCTTTCACTCTATTCTTATTTCTCTATCTGATACTTCTCAGAGCTTTTACTTCTTTCTAAGACTTCTGCCTCTTTCTTTCTGAGACTTTTACTTCTTTCTTCTTTCACTCTATTCTTATTTCTTTATCTGATACTTCTTAGAGCTTTCACTTCTTTCTGAGACTTCTGTCTCTTTCTTTCTGAGACTTTTACTTCTTTCTTCTTTCACTCTATTCTTATTTTTCTATCTGATACTTCTCAGAGCTTCTACTTCTTTCTGAGGCTTTTATCTCTTTCTTTCTGAGACTTTCACTTCTGTCTTCTATAAAAGTCAATCACAAGAAACAAACAAGCATGTATATATATATATATAGAGGCATCCACTCATCTTCATCTTGAAGCATAAGACAAGATTTATCTTTTTACATGTATAATACATGATCAGCATACACTACAGATAATATATACTGTAATTTAATAGTATATCTTATTAAGAACAAGATTCTCAGTTCTCTTAGATTTCACTTCATCTTTAAAAGATATAACACTGATAATTAATCTGAATTATAGATAATATAGTTCAGTTAACTGATAATTAATCTGATTAATTTCTCTACATTCTTTTCATCTTTGAAAAGATATAATACTAATGATTAATCTGAATTATGAATAATAAAGTTCAGCTGACTGATAATTGATCTGATTGACTACTCTACTTTTTTCATCACTGCAGCTGATAATCAGTTCAGTTATAATAGACTCACTCTATACATGTCTGTTACACACTGTAATGAAGTAGAATGAATGACTCACTAGAAATAGCTTCTGTCAGCTGCTCTGCTTCACTGAGCCAGACATGTCTGCTGAGAAGTGAGCTTCTCATGAATCTGCTCAGAGATCTGACACTGAGTGTATCTACTCACAGACAGCAGTGAAGAAACATGCTGTTATAATTATAGAGATCTGACAGAATGCAAATGAATGATATGATAGTATCAAGAATTAAGTCATATTATATAACTGTGTTAAGACAGAGAACATTCTTATAAGAGTGTTCATCAGATGTTATAACAATGTTAAGATAATTCTTAACTCAGTTTCTATCACAGAATGAAAGAATATTATTAATTCTTGACTACAGACTTTCTGTACAGAGGCTACAAAGCATATGAAAGAAAGAGAGTCAATAACTTTAAGCTGTATTAAGTTTAATAGTCAGAGTCATGCCTCTTCTGACAAAGTCACTGTATTAGATATAATTAAAGAGTTGAAGTAACTGAAGTCTCAGCTGACTCAGTGAGAAAGTAAGTTAGATAAGTAAGAGTGTCAGTTTAATCAGCAGTAGAAACAGCTGAATAAGTATATCACTCTTATTAATAAGTGTGTTAATAAGCTTCAGAACAATCTTTAGCATTTAATAGATAAAAGAAGCTGACTGACAGAGATATGAAGTAACTTCTGTATGAAGAAAGCAGCACTTACTGCTTAGAGACAAGAACAGCAGTGTAAAAATCAACAGTAATAGAAATAACTGACTTAAGTTAAAGATGATAATTCTCTCACTGAATTCATCTGATAACTGAATGTCTTATTTGAGAAAGGCTTCAAATCACTCTCTAGAGTTCTACAGATATCTGCAATCTTAAGAGAGCTGTATAATACTGAGTGAGATGTGTTCAGAAGCAGAACCTGCTGCTTAAATATAATAAGAAATAGATTCAATTTCATATGAGAGACAGACATTTCACACTTCATCTATAATATAGAAGAGAATTGAGTCTGCAGAGAGTAAGTATCTGCAGTACTCTTGAAGAAGAAGACCTGTCTTATCTATAATTATAGTGATTTTCTGCTAGATAATAGATTCTGTTCATTCTTATAACAGATTAGTAATGTGATTCACTACACTGAAGATGATGAATGAGAATGTCTGATATAATTAAGAGTAGGTGATGTTATACTGTTTAATCTAGTAGAAGCAGATGTAATAAT